GTATTTTATTCCGAATAAAAGGAAGTTTTCTTTTCATACCAATAAAAAAAGAATTATATTTCGGAAAAATTATCAACCATTGAAAAAAATTTTTTGAAAATAAATTCTTTATAATAGCCGTTGAGTAACTCTAGTAAATTTTTATACAAAATTTCTAAATGAAATCAATTGTACAAAAATTCAAAATTGAATTTTTAATTTTATAATGTATTAAAATTTATACAATATACTGTATATACACTTGTATGACAAATTTTAAATACTTATTATATATTATGCCTATGTCTTTGAACGTTACTATACAGATATCATATATCAGAAAAAAAATACAATTATGACATAAACAATATACCCTCAGATAATGTTCAATGAAACATACGAACATTATTATTGAATAAATATTCTATGCATAAAATGCACTTACGATAAACGAATATATTTATGTGTACATACACACTTATAAAATCTTCATCTATTATTTGTTAAAGTATCGCAACAATTGAATTTCTAACACAAAATAATTATAAAAAAAAAAACAATAAAATAGAAATTATTTTTTTCAAGTGATTCACTTTTTCTATTTTAGAAAAAATAATAATTTTCAAACAAATAGTTCTATAAAATTTTATGAAAATAATATTTTTCATTGGATCTCCTACATATTATAATTTGTACATATTTTTATTTGTTAATTTTCAAGGAAAATTTGTATAGCCCATTAAATTTACTTATATTCCAATTTTTAATTTTTCAATATCAATATTTTTTCGAATAAAATTTTGTGGAGAATTTCTTTTCTACATCTATAAATAATAATATAATATAGAATTTAGAGTATGCAAGTAAAAATTTTGAAAAAAATTCTGTATCAAAATTAATTTAACAAAATAATTTTAATTTAATTTCAATAACAACAATTTTTTTTCCACAATAGAAAAGATTTTTTATCAAAACTTTTGTGCCGGAATATGCCAAATGGCACAATTGACATTAAAAATTCAATAATGTGAGAATTAAATTTCAGAAATTTATAATGAAGTGGAATTTTTAAAATAGACAAAAAAGTTTTTTTTTTTATAAAATTAAAATAATAAAAATTATTAATATTTGTGCTATAAATTTTTGCATAGAGAAAACAAAAAAATTTTAACAAATAGAGAAAAGAAAATAAGATTCCTGCAAAATTTTTTGAAATATTTTCGCTTAAGATCAATATTTTTGTAATTAAAAATAGTATGCTTCATCATTCTTTTTACAATTTAAATGCTGATATTTTTATGTGATGTTCCATCATTCTAAAGAGTCGACACTATTTCCAAATAAGCCGCATACACAGACTTATTTTAAATATTTATCTCATAGTAGATATACAATATTTTTTTAACAATACTTTATGACATTTGTCGATGAGTTACGGGCAATTCGATTCACTAACTTACGAATAACCACTATTTAACAATTTTGTACATTTGTGTTTTGCATTTTATATCGTTACTTTTTATAACATAATTTAAATTTTATAACATTACTTAAATTCGTTGCAAGAAAATTTTTCGTTGCTTTTTTATTTTAACTCTCAAGTACTGTGCCTAGTTTTCCTAAAACCCGTCAAAGTTTTACATTACCTAAAGAATGTTAATTTTACAATTGTAAAATTTAAGATTTTTCGACAATGACAAAAGTAAACGACTTCCAAAACTTTTCCTTCAACCTAAGCATTCTATGAATTTAACTTACATTATATTAATATATGAATGTATTACTATCAGGAATAAATGTAATAATATTGCATACAAACAAATTTACTTAATATAAAGTATCAAAAACAAATGCAGCTGCAATATTTCTAAATTTGACATTTTTAATTTTAATTTTATTTACGGAAAACAAATTTATATTTACCTAATTTTTACATTTTTTTTGTTTACTTTAACATATACATATATTGTATGTATACATATGTATATGTAGTTAAACATACATACATACGTTATTTAACAAAGTAAAATGAAAATTCAATGTCAAAGACATTTTTATTTTGATCTCAAGTGCCAAAAATATTTTAAAATAAATTTTAAGAGATGCAACGATTGTTTACTTAATTACATATGTATTCATATATATATATATATGCACATATGTAATTAATATATGTACATATATATATATATATATATATGTACATATGTAATTAATTTATATTTTTCTTATTGCAAGGCGTTGTAAATTGAGAAACAGCTGCTAAAGTTTGCATGTTAAATAAACATGCGTATATACATACAAGATGAGTCAGAAAGGTATACAACAACAATTGGTTCAGGGTGGAAAATGGGTAAAACTTTTGTTCCGGACTGGGTATGAAATTTCAAGGGTTTCCGAGTTACAGGGATTTTAACGAATTTTCACAATATTTCTATTTATCCAAATTTTTTTGATAATAACTTCCGTTCCGAAAAAGATAGGGGCTTTAAACAAATAGTTCTGAAGTGAAAGTGTGAAAATAATTTTGCATCAGTAAGGCAATGTGCAATGAGTAACTTTTTTTTTGCATGGATCAATTCTCATTTTCCATTACTTTCCGATTAAACGAAATATTTAAATAACAGAATCTTGTGCAAAACCATTTCAAATTTCAATAAATTTTTCCTGCTTCTACCATCGAATTGCTTAAAAATAGGAACAACATAGATACCAATTACATTTATGTATTTCCAACCCTATACTAGCACTGGATGGAATGACATTGTTACTTTCAGATTTATAAATTTTGAATTAAGAGTTGTCAAATCAATCAAAATATGGAAATTTTTACATTTATCCCAATCTGCACTAACTTTTATTTATTTATTATTGGTGAAATTGCAATTATATATTTCATTTAATGATTAATTATAATGTAGTTATGGAAGATACTAGTTGGAACTAACTTAAAATTTGTATTACTTATTATCTTTTTTTTTATTAATTTAACGCTGGATTTCTAAACATACATTGTCTTTAAACAGTATTTTTTATTAATACAAGCTATTTGAAAGTTTGAAATTGAATTTACGATTTCGATAAATAATAACACGATCATTATAATTTTTTTCTTTGTATATTTATAAAATTAAACATTTTAAATATTCTATACTCTATAGCTACTATTTTAAAGCATACCAAGGCCTTTATAATAATTTTCTCCGCTCATTTTCTTATGACTTCTCCACGACAATGAATTTCATAGTTAATTTATTTCTTGCAGTAAAAATCAACAATTTTTTTCAACAATCTTGGAGTAAAAATCAACAACGAAAGAAAGATTTTATTTCGCAAAATAATGTAAATTATCAATAAAAAAATTTTTCAATTTCATCGGCGGTATAAAAATCTTATAAATAATGTTCTAATGCTTTAAATATTTTTTTTGTAATTAAACTTTGGCGTCAAAACAAATAATATTTTTGATATGATACAATTTTTTCTCATTTCCTTATACGAGTCCCCTAGTCGTACTTGAATCTATTAATTATTATGAATATGTTATGTATTTGGATTGAAAATTTTATAGACATTGGAGTAGATTCTGAAAATAATATACGAAAAATTAAGATTTTTTCCTTTAATTTTAATTATAGAAATACCCTTAAACTTTCGAAAATAATTTTACAATTTGCAAAAATTACCAAAAAAATATAGGTATATGTAAAATAATTAAGTGAGTAATATTCATCACACTGTAATGAATTAAATATGATATATAAATTTATTTTCTGTAATACAATTCTTTTAAATTGTAAATTACAAAGTAATTTTTGCAAATATTAGCTATAATTACTTATAACTAAAATAAAAATATATTATAAAAAATTATATAAAAAATTATATAAAAATATGCATTTATTATTGATTAGAGTATAAGATTGGTTTAAATTAAATTAAAAATATTTTGATAAAGTGTTTATTGAATTTGAAAGTGGCAGTCCAAGTATTATTTGAAATGAAATAGAAGTTTTTAGAATAATTGATAATTTTTTTTGACAAAGCTTTCTTAATATATTCATAACAGGCGTTCTGCAAAAAAGGGCTTAAGATTCATAGAGATGTATATTTTTTAGTAAACAGCTTCGAAATGTTCCACTTTTACACTAAAGTTTCCCAAGAGAAATTTTTTCATATATTTTGAAAAGAAAATTATCAGAGAATCAGAGAAATCAGGGAAATACACTCAGAGAATTCAGAGTTTCAGAGAAATACTCTCTTAAAATAAATTTTGAATATTAAATAAATTTTAATCACACATTTGTTCAAATTTTTAGTTTGTTTTAAATATGGTAAAATTTTATAAAATGAAAATCAAAATTATTCCTTGATAAATTTACAAAAAGAATAGACTTTTGTAAGTAAAATACCTTTTTATAAAATATAAAAATTAAGAGATACATTACATCTATACATTATATCTATAGCAGTTAGCAAATTATGTACGTTTACAATCACCGCATTACAACTTTTTGCATTTGTTTAGGTGTGCAGTTCGCATTTCATTTCGCATCAAAGTTATACTATGAAGCAAAACATTTTACAAGCATCGCTATCGTTACAAAAATAAATGAATTCTTTAGTATAAACTTGGCCACGATAATAATAAGGCAAAATGATTCCTTACCAAATTTCAATTTTTCTAAAGCTCGTCTGAAAATTCCAAAACCTAACTAATCAACATCTTTTTATATTATTTTTTTTTTGTTTTTATTTATTTTTTTTATATCTATTTTCTTTTCTCGGTTATTTCTATTAAAGTTTTTGGCATATATTTTGTAGGGTTATTGCTTAACTTTGAAAAAGAAACTTTATAGAAAACATTATGAAACGTTACGAATGAACGGAAGGGGGGGGGGGGGGCTGGAGGAAGGGAAGGGGATATAGATAACATAGCAAAAAAATTGTAGCATTTTCCTTTTTTATTTATTTGTTTTTTTTTTTTTGTTTTTTAAATCTTCTTTTATTTTCATTTTCAGGTAGAAGCTGGTGATATTATTGTTAAAGTTAATGGTACTGATGTACATCGTTATACAACAAAGGAAGTTTTAAAATGTTTACGGCTTTCTGACGATTTAGTTACTTTAGAACTTAAAAGAGGTTTGTATTACAATATTTGGTAACACTGTGTTAAAAATTTAAATTTAATTCTTTAAAATTTTAAGAACGACTATCTCATTATAATGACATTTTCACATTTAGTTAACTAATTAATAAATTGGTTCATTAAATACCCTGATACAGTTTAATATACATATACATGTTATGTATATTAAACTCTGTGTAACTCTGTGTTGTATATTGACAAAAGTTGAAAATAATTTTTCTACATATCTGTTTTCTATTATTTCTTCCTAAGTCCTAAACGCATATTACATCAGAATTTAAAATTTCAAGATGGTTCAAGTTTTTTTTAATATAATATTCTTCGAGGTTACTTCATTTCAAAAAGGCCGTATGATCATTTTAAAAATCATGAATATGAACATTATAGTTTTATATATTTTAGACTATCTTATGTTTTATGGAGAATAATTACTGCTAAGAGTTGTGTGATAATTGTTGTCACACTGCTTCATATCATCTTTTATTTTTTTATATTGCGCTGAACTGAATGATCAAACTATTTTCTTAACATGATAAAATATATTTTAGAGTTAAAGAATAGTTACCATATGAACGGTAAAGCTATGAAACCTTAAGGATTTCCATCTAAAATATTTTCCATATGATTTTATTGGCCATATTGGCCATTTGATTTAGTTTTTGAAGTTGTATTACACTTTACCACTGTTTCTATCACATCCAATTTAAATATGCACTTGGCATATTTCTTATAATTTTAACATATTATAAATATAAGTTAATGATATATAAATTGTCATATATTAACTTAAAACTTAATATATCAGGTAAAATATAACAAAAGTTAAAATTTAGATTTTTCTATCAAAAGAAAGTCTATCAATATAATGGTTAGCGTTTAAAGAACTAAGTATATAGTTCGTTAATAAATCGCAATATTAATTCTATACATATATAATATACAAATTAATTTATGGGTCAAAAAGTAGAGATACTTCTATGTATGTTGTTTAGCAGAATTGTAAACTTGGGAGTTAATAATCTTGCAGAATAATCAATCGCAATTACGTTACATTTGAAGCCAACGATTTTTAATATGATAATAATACGAACATCTTTTTGAACTGACAACTTTTCGATTTATAAACAGGTGAAAGTTATTCTCTAAATAAACATGTTATTCCTGAAATTTTTTCCATTTGAGTCAGGAATTTTACCTAAGTAAACACCCGAAAATAAAATTTTTAGAAAAATATTGTCTTTTCATCTCAATTCTAACGAAAAATTAGACATTGTCACATTCTCGCTTTGATTTTACAGTTAAACATTTCGTTAAGCTAAAATCCCTTATTTATGAATGAAAGCAAAATTTTAAACTACATTGATAAAAGGTACCTTTCACAAAAAGAAAGAGGAAAAAAGGCAATAATTGATCCTCATTAATTTATGTTCGACGATTTTTGTTTCAAGACACCATGCAACGTATACACTTAAATTTGATGTATGTCTCGATGTAAACAATTATTTTATAATTTAAGAACGTAGTTGTAATTAATTAACGAATATTACTTACCACAAAACATATAAAATTTTCATTGTCTTATTTTTTACTTTTAGATCCAAACATAAAAGCTAAAATTAAAGAATATTTAGCTCGCACAAGTCATAATATACATAATTCGGATATAGAACCATTGAACTTAAATATATATGATATTAAATCATCATCAACAAAAACTCGTATTAAGGACCAACATCAACAACAGTCATCAGAAAATATAAATTTATTAAAAAAATCCCCAACATATAGTTCAAGCTCTAGTTCATCAATAGGTGGTCCACCAACAAATTTTCATCAACAACAGCAGCATCAATCACAACGTGTATTAAATTCACCGACTAATACCGATTCATTGAATCGTCCATCACGCATTCCAACTGTTGCTAAGAAAGCATCACAAAAAATAAATCAAAATCAATCACCACAGCACAAAAAACCAAAACCATCTCAAATTCCAGCAAAAGGATCAATTTCTAATGCATTAATTTCATCGCATCATCAAATTAGTAATCAACAACAGCAACCATCATTTGGTAATAATGGATATAATAGTAATAGTGAAAGAAATAATTTAATAGGTAGTAATAGTTCAACAACAACCTCAGCGAATTCAGTTAATACATTTGCCAATAATACTCAGCAGTTTCATAGCTTTTCGCAACAACAACAACAGCAACAGCAGCAACAAAACGAACCGGCCTCCCAAAGGCCGGGGAAAGCTCGGTTTGAAGCGTACATGATGACTGGTGACTTAATACTAAATATATCAAGAACTTCGCAAAGCTCTAATCTTATTGGAACACACGCTAGAAAAGTAATTTTTTTATTTTAAAATGCTTATTGTACAATTTTCAATTTTTTTTTGTTGTATTTTCTCAAAGGTGGATAGCCTAAGGGACTCCCCATCAAGGCAAAGGCCTCAACTTCAGCGGCAGCAGCATCAGCAGCAGCAACCAAATGGGGCGTTAGCGCCACGTGCATCTGGCGAGACAACACCAAGTTCATCCTCTCCTTCATTATCAGAAAGTTCAGATTCTATTAAAAATTATATAAAAAATAGGGATAAAAATAAAAATAGTGATAATAGTAACAATAGTACTAACTGCAGTAGTCAAGGTAGTAATGGTTTAAGTGATAATAAGGATGACGATTTTACACAAGAACAAACGAACAATGAAGAAGATATATTAAACGAACAAGACGAAGACGAAGAAGGTTGCGATTATGATGGCGATAACGAATATTCGCAGCAACAACAAAGTAATCATGAACAACAACATCATCATCACCATCACCATCATAGACAGGAAATAAGTTCAAAGAGACAAAACTCATTGCAACAGCATTTAATAAATAATGATGCCAACGATGATACAAGTGCCTGTGTTACATTCTCTTCCTCGTCAAACATAAATCGTGATTGCTTAGATAGCTCTTCTGTAAAAATTAATTCACAAAACCAAAAACCATCGGAAAATTTTGGTGCTGAAATAAGCGTAAATAATTCTGTATTTGGTAGCGGCGGTAGCGGGGTTTTAACTGGCGAAACTGTAAACGTCGACTCGCGTCGCCAACATAGATCTTCATCATCTTCTTCTACAATAAAAAGCGATATTGTTAGTACACCAGAAGAAACAAGTTTTTCTGTGCCAACTTCTCCTGTTTCTTTATCAACTCCATTGTTGGATAATAAAGAATCAGCAAACTCTTTGCCCACTAGCCCAGAACAAAGTGCTCCAGCTGAAATTGTAGTGCGTCGTCAACACAACGGAGTTATTGTACGTAAATGCGATTCAGCTGGTTTCAGGACAAGTAAATCGGAAGATCATCTGCAACAAGCTCAGCGTGAAGGTATTGGTGCTGTTATTCCAATTGATATAGATGAAGATGTTAATAGCTCTCTTAATACATTATTAGATACTCATCAAGATTCAGAAGGTTCACAGGTAAATCAAAACCTTAACGATTTTGCTTTGTTATAACCTTCTTTATATTCTACAATAGTTTTTACTTATTATTTTGTGTCAATTTTGTTAAAATGAAAAAATTTTCTTTTGTTTGTTCAATTTGTATTTTTGTTTTTTTTTAAATTTAAGACTTCAATTCGTGATCGTATTGTTTGGACATATAACGCTCCAGTACCACATCCTGTTAATCAATCATCGCCAAATTCTCATTCAAGTTCAATTAGTACATCTCCACAGCATACCACTGACAGCCCACAATCACCAACTTCTGTATCTAGTTCAGTAATGTCTTCGAATTCCGGTTCAAAAGGTGGACATGCAATAGGAGTTGGTGGTTACGCCACTTCAACAATCGGCGGAGCTAATCATATTCCAATAAATAATTCGAATTCCGGCACAACTGGTGCTGGATACCATTTAAGCCGAAATAGCAGTGGCAACAATCAAGCTTTAACAACAGGTGGAAATGGAACTGGATTCCTTAGTTGCCCAACCAATGGTGGTGATCAAAGTGTGTCAGAGGCTGTATCAAATATTTCAAGTCCAGATTATCAGGACGATGATAATCTTTTAAGTTCCAAGGATTTAATGGGGTTATCATTAAGTGACCCAAGTGATTCAGATTCAACAATATTGGTATCAGATGCAATGCAACGTAAACAGCAACAGGAGAAAAATGCAAGCAACAATAAGCAGGAACAACATAAATTAGTTATTCAAGTTAAAGGACTAAACAATAGTGAAGGAAGTGGAAGTAACATTCGTATGAATTCTGAACTTAAAGACTCCGAGGATGAATTAGCAACTTTGACTGAAGAACCTCCAACAGTTATACTTGGTGGCCAAGATACGAAAGAATCTTCTCCACCTGTTTCAGATGATGGTAGTGATGTTGACTCGTTACATTCATATCACTACTCGCCAAAAGCTGTCGATATGCCATCGGCAATTCGATTAGCAAAACGACTGTATTCCTTAGATGGTTTTAAGAAAAGCGATGTTTCAAGGCATCTTGGTAAAAAGTATGTACTTGTAAATAAAAAGTTTGTAAAGTTTTATTTTTAAAAAAATGATCCTTTCAGTAACGATTTTAGTAGAGCAGTTGCAGATGAATACCTTAAGTATTTTAATTTTGATAATAAAACCTTAGATCAAGCTTTAAGAGAATTTTTAAAACAATTTTCGCTTTCTGGTGAGACTCAAGAGCGGGAAAGAGTTTTAGTACATTTTTCAAAGAGATATTTAGACTGCAATCCCGGAACTTTTAATTCACAAGGTACTTAACATTTTTTTTAAAACAGGTTGTTTTTCCATGAATATATTTTTCTTTTGCTTTTTGCAGATGCTGCTCATACGTTAACATGTGCAATTATGTTATTAAATACGGATTTGCATGGGCCAAATATCGGCAGGAAAATGACTTGTACTGATTTCATTGCTAATTTAGCAGAATTAAATGATGGCGAAAATTTCCCGAAAGATGTTCTTAGATATTTATATCATGCTATCAAAAGTCAACCATTAGAATGGGCTCTGTAAGCGAAACTATATTATGTTTTTATATGTTTTCGATTTAATAAAATAAAATTTAATTGTAAACTCTTATTTTTCTAGCGATGAAGATTCTCCGGAGCAGCCAAAATCGCGAAATGATGGTAACCTAAATTCTACACAAGTTGGTAATAATCCATTCCTTGATGCTCCACCATCATCCGCTGCAATCGAATATAAAAAAGGATACGTAATGAGAAAATCCTGCTATGAACCAAACTATAAGAAAAGTAAGTATATTTTGTAATATACTGAAAGTGTAGTAATTTTGTACATAGCTATATACATGTATGTATGTATTTTCTTTTTATTGTTTGTTTGTGCTTTACTGTGTGTGCAAAAAAAAATAAACTATCAAAATATTCTTACAAATACTAGATTGTTGCGATTTCTTTCTAGCACCATTTGGGAAGCGATCATGGAAAATGTTTTATTGTACTCTACGTGATTTAGTATTATATTTGCATAAAGATGAGCATGGATTCAGAAAAAGTCAAGTGAGAAAATTAAAAAATGTCTATTAAAATTCAAAAAATTATACACTAATATTTTAAATAATATAGATGTCTGATAATTTACACAATGCTATCCGAATACACCATGCCTTAGCCACAAAGGCAAGTGATTATACGAAAAAACAGCACGTATTCCGTTTACAAACAGCCGATCAGTCTGAATATCTTTTCCAAACAAGTGATTCAAAAGAGCTGCAATCATGGATTGATACGATTAACTATGTTTGCGCGGCATTTTCTGCTCCACCATTAGAGGGTGGTGTTGGTAGCCAAAAACGTTTTCAAAGGCCGTTGTTGCCCAGTACTCATACAAAATTATTAATTGTAAGGCGGCAACTTCAATTTGTTACAATATATCTATTCTAAAATTTGTTTTCAAATTCCAGAAAGAACAACTAAGATCTCATGAAGAGCAAGTAACTCAATTAGAAAATACATTGACCGAACATAAGAAAGGACCCATTCCAAATAAAGGACTTCCACTACAAAACTATAAAGAAAAAGAAAACTATTTAAACTATGAAGTAAGTTTTATCCTATATATTTTTACATTTTTTTAATTAATGAAAAACGGTTATAGCTGAAAAGATATAAGACGTATGTTAGTATATTGAATGCAAAAATGATAGCTGATCAACAATTAGAAATGCAACAACAAAATTGTCTACTAGACGAACAATTTAATTTAGCTCAAAGAAATTTAGGTACCGCAATCGGTAACACAAGTAGTATACCAGTTAATAACATATTACAACAGCAAATATCTGATGCACAACAGCAGCAACAACCACCAAGTGATTCGAATAATAGTAGTGGATTAGGAAACAGGTATGGATATAGACCGAATATCTATCGTACTTCTGATTCACAACAAGACATTGGCTGACGTGTAATGGGGGTTTTCTCAGCTTGTGTGGTTTAAATAGACTTATAATTTATTGTGCTGTTTTGTACATTGCTTCTAAAAAAATTTTATTTATTTATTTCGTTTATTGTATTCATATGTGTTATTTTTAATGAAAAATTTTAATAAATATTATTTTTGTTTGTTTAAATTGGTGGCATATACATTATATAAATATCTTCATTTGACATTATTTAACACTTTATTAATTTTTACACTTATTATTTTTATCTTTTATTTCTTCATACTAATTAAATATTATTTAATTTATAAAATTCTCATAAAATATATATATTTCACTGTAGCTTTGTGGTTGTATTAGTTTTATAAAATATGTATATTTTTAATATATAAATTTACTATTGACAAATAAGTATTGTATGAAATAAACAATATTTTAATTAGGTTTTATTTAAAATATTAATGAATACATGAAATTTTGAATTACATAGTAGGAGAAAAATTAATAAAAATAAGATATAAAAATATTGTATGTAGGAATATAAACAGCTACATATTAACATAAAATACTTTTCGCACTCTAATCGTCACACACCTTAATAAATTAAACAAAATAGCAGCTAAATATATAAAAATATAATTCATTTTTACTTTATTTTTGCAAAACGCATACTAATAAACATTAGGTAAATTATGAAAAATAACAAATCAATTTGAAATTTGACTCATTTTTACAGTTTTTTTTGCAGCGCATGATTTTTATGTAATTAAATCATTCTTAATAAAAAATTAAAGAAAAAATTATGAGCGCTATAAATACAAATTTCACGCAATTTATAAAATTTAATATAAATACTTTTTTCCCCTATATTTTTGTATTAGAATTTTTCAATATTTAAAATTATTTTCCTATATAAAAATTAAAATATTTATTATCCTCGAATTTTTGTGTTTCAAATCTGAAAACTTTATATAATCTGAAATTTTCATCCTCATTTTTTTTTTATATCTTTTCACAGTATTGAGTATACTAAATTTTATTCTTTTTAATTTAAGATTTTCAAAGAATTCGCAACATTTTAAAAAGTTCTATTGAATTTATTTTCCCATTTTTATTAATTTTAATAACCACAAAAAACTGTGAAGACTCAAAATCAATATTTAAAAAAAAAATTAAAATCAATATTTAAATGTGAATAGAATAAAAATTATGAAAAAATAACAACATTTTAGAAGAAAAAAACTTTTTTTTAAAAATAACTTTTAGAATAAAATATTAATCAATAAAAAACATAGATAGTAAACACAATTTATTAGAAATTATAATTAATAATTGAAAAAGTATTTGTTACACATTTGTAAACATACATTATATGAAAAAAAAATACAAAAAAAAAGAAATAAAAGCGAATTAATAAGATGTTTTTTGAAAAGAATTTAATTATAAAATTTTATGAAATATGTATTAAAAATGAAATTATAATATATACACAAAAATATAACGTTTACAAGTAGTTATATTCCTGAAAATTTATACACCTTTGTTTATTATGATATTGACTTCTTATTACTTTTAAAAATTTATTACATATTTTTCAAAATTTACTTTTTACCGTTTTTACTCTTTCATTTCTTTATTATTTTATTTTTCAGTATGCATTTATATAAATTATAAAGTTAAAAATGAAAATAAAAATTTTTAAACGGGAATAAACTACACACGTAATAAAAAAAAAAATTAGTAAAATTGTTGAAAGCAAAAATTCGAAATAAGGAAAAATATTATAATCTTTAAAAAATCATATAATCATAAAAATTTACAATTATATAAAATTATGATTTCGGTGTTCCCTTTGATTCTTCCCCGAATGGCTGGATTTTAAATATTAATGTTATTCAAAAACAAAACGTAGACTGATTTAGAAGTATTATAAATTTTTAAATTATATACAATATGTACGGTGAAATGAAGTAATTAAATATATATTATTACCTATTAGTAATACCCAAATATTAAAAGAATAAAAATATATACATATAAATACATATACATACTTTTGAAAAAAAAAAATTCACGCAAAGAAAATATAAGTAAAAAATTGTTATTGGAAAGGAAATTTTTGTCATTGAATTCTGCTTTTTAAGTTACTTTTTAGTTTTTTTTTTTTTGTTTTAGAGAATATAACTTATTATACTAACTAAAAATACGTATGTATCTTTAAATTTATGTGTGGAAAATTTGAAAAGCCGACGAAAGCGTTTTAGGACTGGAAGGCTTTATTAATGCCTTTTCATCATTTCAATGAAAAAGTAAAAATCATTTATTTTTACAATAAAATACAAAACTGAAGAATATTTTTCAAATAATTTTAATTTTAATAAGTTTAAATTTTTAAATTTGATTATAATAATTAATTCTCTTTGTTTACTGTTGCCTTTAATTTACTACAGTAAAGTTCATTTGAAAATTAGAGTTAAAAAAAATAAACTTAAAATATTAACCTTATTTCTATTTTTAAATGGAATACTTATTGTTTCCATTGGCTTATATTAATATTATTATTACAGAATCAAGATCAAGACCCATAATCATAAGGAAACTTAGCCATAAAAAAGTAAATATTTACCTTCTTGATATTTATTTTTATTTAATTAATCATAAATTCTATTTAAAATTTAAAATATTATGGATAGAATATTCTAATTTAAACCTAAAATTATTAAATTCGATTATGAATATGAAATACTCGTAGAAACACTTATTTTATTTAAATTATTTTTTCACATATTCTCTTATGTACATATATAAATTGGTTATGAAAAGGCGTTATTCTTGTATTACATAAAATTAATAGATTAAAAACTTAAATATCTATTATTGGCGAAATGAATATTTGAAATACTTAATATAAGTGATTTTATTATACTTTTTTTCTTATTTGCTTTATTTAAAATCAAAACTTCAATTATATTATAATTATAGTTAGGGCTGTGAAATTTTAAATTTTCATTTTTATAAGTTATGAAAAAAAATAATAAGAAATAAGCATAATAAATATAATAAGTAAAAAATAAAGAGCGAAAAGGAAAAAAATAATTGTTATTAATAAAAATTAATTGACGTTATTAACATTATTATTGAAACTTTAATATTATTATTATGAATATTATTACTAATATGTATGTGTATAATATACTAATGAAATATTTGATATTTGTAATAGAAAGCGAAAAAAAAATTAATTAAAATTATATTAAAAATAAAGAAATCAAAATAAAATGAAATGTTTTAAAATAAAATGTTTTTGAATAGAAATGGTAAATGCGCGTATGTGGTGCATTAGGAAACAAGAAAACAAATAAAATCTTTCAAAATTATTAAGAATAATTATTTGAGTGGCGATTTTAAATAAATTTGCCAATTCGATTAGAAAAATAAAATGCAAATTCGATTAGAATTAATTTTCAGTAGGCTTTCTTGTTTATCTTTATTATTTTTTAAATTTTTTTAACTAAAATTGTTCAAAATAATTTTAACTTGCAAACAATGTATCAAAACTCATTATTATAGAAATTAAACTAAATTGGATATTAATATACAACATACATAATCGTAAAAGAAAACAAATTTAACGAGAACATCGTTTCAAGATATACAAGAAATAATATACAAAAATAATAATTATTATTAAATTAAATTTTTTCTCAATTTTTGGCTTGCAAATGACATATTGAGTAGACGAGTGAGACCGTATTTATATTTTATAGAATGCATTACAATTACAAAACTTACTATAAAAAAATTTATTTAAATTAAAAATTCAACTGTATTAAAAATTCCAAAGGGGTAAAGTGAATTTTAATTTTAATAAGAAAAAACCAAGTATATATTTAAATTACATTAATTAAAAATAAATAAATAGACGCGAAAATAAAAAACAAAGAATAAAATTTATGGAAACAAACAAATATTAGTTTTAAAATTTATTAATATTTGAATATGAATAAAAAATTGCAATTTTTAAAATTTATTAAATAACTATTTTAAAAAAGTGTTAATTATTATTTTATTTTGATTTCTGCAACGCTTAGTTCTTGCATTTAAATATTTCTTTGCTCAAAAAATATTTTGCGAGCTGTTTTTTATTTTTAGTCAGCAATTCTTGTGAATTTCTATGATAAAATTCCTTATACTATCACTTCACAAATGCGTTAAGTTGGCGCACTTTTTCATAAATCTGAACAAAATATTAAATCATCTTGTCGATGTAAACCTTTTTGATTTATCTTGTATATTTCCCAGCACCGTTATGAAAAACACTATGAGTACTGAAGCAAAAAAATTATATAATTTTTTGTTTATTTTATGTATTTTATAATTTTATTCATTTTGTCTTTTTACATAAACATTTTCTAAAGAAGACATAGTTTTGTTTTAGAAAATTAATAAAATAAATCAAAACTTTTTTATAGTAAATAATAGTAAGTACCAGTACAATTAGTAAAAGTACAATCAGTTCCAATTAAATTCTCTTTTTGTTAGAGCTTTCATAAACCATAATTAAGAATATCATTATTATATGAAATTAGTTTGTATTCAATAAATCTTTTTTTCTCTGACTTATAATTCTACATCTCTATTCTACATCTTGGAATAATTGAATGTAGCATTTTTAAATTTCCTTTAAAGATTTAATTGTATCAAATGTATTAATAAATTTCAGGTAAAATATAACAACGAGATCTGATTTCCCCTAATTTAATAATTAATTTTAATTATGCCAGTTATGAGAAATTTAGTAAACACTATGTAACAAATTCGGTAGTGGAAAACATTAAGTGGAAAAGTGTTAGAAACAAATTTTGTGTTAAAATTACAAAAATTAAAAAGCTTAGTTTATAAAATGGCAATATTTGTGGTTGTAGATATGTACATACATATATATATTATATAAAATTTGTGTGTAAGCTACCGTACAAATTGTGACATTTTCTTTAATTTTCATGTTTGGTTTTATTCTAATTTTCTTATATATTTTATCTATATTATTGGTTTAAAGGTACTGTTTTTAAATCTGCCTCAATATATTTCTTTTTGTTATTATTGTTTTTTTTTTTTTTTTTTTCGTGTTATGCAAAACTGAATTGTTAGATATGTTGTACATTTTAATATCTCTATTTTTAATTTCAGAAAAATTGACGAACAATAATAAATTTTGTATTGCAGAAGCCGTAATTTTATTATTGAAAAGGTAATTCTTAATATGCACTTTATAATATTTATACTACTTTACTTTAGAAATTGTAACGTTGCATGTTCAATTAAAAATTCTAAGTTAGCGAAATTTAATATAAATTTGCTTTTAGAATTTATTTTTGTCTAAGTATTGTTTAATTAAATTGATTAACTCTATTAAATTATGCAAACTATTAATTAAGTCTATGATAATATTTTAAGTATTTATATACTATTGTACTAATGATTAAAATTTTCAATGAAATACAAATAAGTAACATGAAAATAAATTAATTTTTGCAAAATAACTTTATTCAATTAAATGAATGGGTCAACAAATTTTGTTTGTAAATTGATATATTTTAAAATTATTTGTAAATTTATATATTTTAAAATTATTTGTAAATTTATATATTTTAAAATTTATTTGATATATTTTAAAATCATATTTTCAATACTATGAAAATTTTCATTTTTATTCAAAAGCAATTACTTAAAATAGACTTATAAATTTTAAAATTTAAAAACCAAAATTCTTCTTCTAATTTATTTTATTTCAAATCCCCTTATTGGAGTAATGCCACATATTTTTAATAAAAATATTTGCTGTTCTTTAGAACAATTATACTACAAAAGATTAAAAAACAAATTTATTTATATAATTACGTATATATCAAAACATAATAAAAAAAATGATTGTATATAATTAATTTTCAAATTTTGTTTTATTTTTAGATTTCATCGAAAAAGTTCGTCATGGTTTTAGTGTTAAAAAATAATTATTTTACAATTTAACTTTATATAATAAAGATATGAGCTTTATATAAATATGTTTAATTATTTGATTTTCGAATAAGTTATAATGTTTTTTTTTTTTTTTTGTAATTTAATATAAATTAATATAAATATCTACTAATTTATATTAATTATATTTTAAGTAACAAGCAATTTTTACAAAATTTAATATTGATCATAAATGTATTAAAAATATAAAGAAATAAAAAAATAATTGCATATTTGTAATTTAAAAATAGAATGGAAATTTAATTTCCTAATAAATATTAACTACTTATGTATTTCATAAAGAGAAAAATATTATAAAAAAAAATATTGAAATTTATTAAATTAACAAAACTCCTTATTATCGGTGTGTGATAAAAAAAAATCAATAAATATAAAAAATTAAAAAGTGTCAAAATCAAAGCGAGAAAATAATTAAAATTTAAAATTTCGAAATAAAATTATACAAAAAACAATATGATAAAAATATACAATAAAAATTTAACGAGTTCATAATCGTTAATTAAATTTAATAGTTCATTAAAATTAAAAAAAAATTCCCAATTTTTATTTGATAAAAATATATCTCATAATTTTTTTTATTTTTTTTTTTTATATACAAATGATAAAGCATGTAATATTATTAAACTATTTAAAAAAAATCATATTATATGTATAAAAAATTATTATTAATTTATTGTTTAATATTTGTCTTTTTTTTTTTGTTTTTTACATACATTCATATGTATATCGTTATTTATTAATTGTAGTTCTAGTTTTTCTTTGTTTCATTAGAACTTAAAATAATTTTAGTTACATAATATTGTACACATTTTTAAAATGCAAAAATAGAATATACAAGAATTACAAACATAAAAAAACGAAATTAAGCAAATTCAACTTGAAAAATGTGTTCTTCAACATAATAAACTTTTAAATTGTATTGATTCAAAATTAATATAAACTTAATTAATATTATGATTATTAATATATATAAATAGTACATGTTTTTGTATTTTTAAAATTAGTACCTTAAAAATATTGCATTAAAATTAAATAAGAATTATATAAAAGTATATTTATATAAAAAAAATATAAATAGCTATTAAAAAAAAAATTTATATATTGACAAAATAACATAGTTGTATTTAAAAATTAGTAAGAAAAAAAAAAATAAAAAATGAAAAAAAAAACAGAATGTGCAGTATAAAAGAACTGGCATATATAAATACGTTCAGCGTATTTTATAAAATAAAAAGAAGAAAATTTATTAAAAGAACATGTGTTACTTATTTATTATTATTCATCATTCATTACCAAAGTTTTGGTTACCTAACTAAATACAAACAACGTAACATTTAATTTTGAATTAAAATGGGCTTAGGACACTTCATCCAAACATTCAAAATTTCTTTAATTTTTAAAATTTTTTGTTTAACGAGTTTTTACAAAGAAAATTAAAAAATTTTAAATGTATAACTCCTATTTCTTAATATGAAAGAATAACAAAATCTTTCCAGTATAGTTAAATCGAATCCATATGAATAGAACACTAAAAGAGCCTTCGACGTGAGTGATTTTTCATTTGAAGAAAAATTTTATGAGTTTTAAAATGAGTGCACAACGTTAGCTTTAGCTGTTCTTTGGAGTTATAATTATAATATTTTTGGAGTTATAAAAGAAATTAAAATAATTTGAGACTTTTCAGAATTTATTTAAAAAAGCTCTTAAAAACAATACGGTTATTATAGGACAGACATTATCAATGTAATTTAAACCTGTTTTATTGTGACCACCTCTTATCTATCTGAAGATAGATAAGAGGTATCTGAAATTGAAAATACATTCTGTTACCAATATAAAGTGTTTCTAGTAAAAGAGATTCATTGTTACTATTTATGTGTCTTAATTGTTCTTATATGCAGGATCATCACATTTACCCTTCATCTTAGTTTTATATTCCCTTATTTAAATTCATTTTAGGTTTCCCTAGGAATGGAATTCAAGACCTATTAGATACATCGTATCTAATAGGTTATACATATATCTATTTATGTCAAATCATGAATTCAAGAAATTTATAATAATTATTTGGAAAATAAGGTCAACCATATATAGAATTCAATTCTAACGCGCAAGAAAATTAAAGATGATGAGGATGAGAAAAGTAGTTCTGAAGAGAATTTTTGAAAAATTTAAAAACGGATATTTTAAAATATTTGTAAATTATAAATAGATCGTATGTACATACATATATCGAAAAATGTCTGATGTAATTGATATATGCCTTAAAAATTTCATTTCGAAGTGATTTTCAAAATGATTTTTTTTTATTTTAATGCATGTTTACATCATATTATAAGTCTGCAAAAATGATGGATTTCATTTTCTTTTAATATTTTGGGTAAGAGTACTAAACTCAATTTTACTTTCCACAGATTGTATCAAAAATCAAAAAAGTCAGGTTAAAGTAAAATCCTATTTTTGGTAAACGCCCTTGCCTTAATTACCGGATATTAATAAGATAATTAATTCTAAATGCTAAATAGATTTTTATTTCAACAATTCTATAATTTAATTTTTAATAATTTAATTAGTTAAATTCATAAATTTCTTTTTTCATTACTATACTATTGTAGTATTCCTTTTTAGCTTTTATAGCTATTATAAACTTCTATGTATAATTGTCATAATATAATTACTGTTTTTCTACTACTTCCGTCCTTAATCTCATAGCTAAAGTTTTTCGTAATTGCATTGCGTCTAAATATTGAAAAAAAAAAACTAATTAGTTTGTTTTAAATATTTTTGAAATAAACTTAATCACCGTTATTTTTCGGAACAATTTCACTGGTATTTCCTCTTAAAGCATTTTGTGCGGCTTGAGATGATGTCGGACGATTTCCTTTTCCCGATGTACTCTGCTGAGAATCTTGATTTCGTTTAGCTGATTCGTTAAGTTGTCTTGCCCTGGCTTTTTTTTTAATCTCTAAAATTTTATCACGCTGAGATCTTAAGTATTCCTGTCGGGATTTTATATCTTCAGAACTAACTTCTAAAATTTATAAATTATCAAACGACTTTAACAGGTGAAAAGAAGAAAAGAACATTCACCTTGATTTTCAAAAAATAAATTTAATCGATCAAATCTATCATCTTTCGGTGAAGTTTCATCTGTTAATATTTTTGTAATTTCGTTATCATCTATTGTAACTCTTTTTGAAGATTTCTTTAAAGGTCTTAAATCACCCTCTTTTGGCATAGCAAGCTCACTCTCAACGACTTTCTCAAGCTCTTGAGTAATTTCCTCTTCAGTTGTTGAAAGTAAATTACTTTTAAAAAAAATTTAAGTTCAATATTAAATTCGTAAAATTAATAACATTTAATTTATAAATTCCGAATACAATAATAAAACAAAATTTAAATAAAAACCACACATTAAAGTGTGTACGTATTAGAAGTAATGGACTTACGTTTCAGCTTTTTCTATATTTTCCAATTGTTCTGTATTTTCACTATCGACAGAACTTGAATTTTGCCTTCTTTCTAATAAATCTAATGCTTGAAGTTGTAATTCAACATTACGTTGAGTCATCATTCTAATAAAAATTTTGATATCATTAGCAGCCCATATCTACAATAAATTAGTTTAAATTCAAAATAATGTTGCTATTAAATTTTTAAACTTGTTTTCCTTTTAGTATGTAAATATGTATTTGGTAACATTTGCTAACGTATACATATAAATATATTTACCTACATATATGTATATTATTATTACATATATAAAATTTTAAAAGTAAATTTTAAAAAAATTTATATAAAATGCAAAAATTAACTTTAAAATTTAAATTTACAAGGTGTAATTGAATCAAAATTTCTCATGAAGTTTTAACGTTAAATAGATTCCATGAATTGATTGTGGCACATTTTCAACAGATTTTGGAAAAAATGTTTTCGACAGATTTTGGAAATAATATGTACCAAAGCAATCTATGTATGCATGTATGTGGACCTTCATAATTATATAATAATTAGGATTACCTGTTGAAAAAGTCCTTGGTGAAAACTAAATGCGTTATTATCTGATTGCTGTTGATTTTTCCCTTCGAGACATGCAATTTCGAATTGTTCTGGGGTAATTTGCATTTCCTTAAAAAAAAAGTTTTAAAAGGCATTTTCTAGGTATATAATTAAATATTGCATCATCAATTTATATTATTCTTACGTCCATAAAACTACCAAGCATATAATCAACTAAATTTTTATATTCGTTATGAATTTTTTTATATTCAGGATTTGATTCATTTAAAGGTGAATTTGGATCGAAAACTTAAATAAAATAAATTTACATTGTACATATTTATGAATTACAAGTTTTTAAATTTATTATTTTTATTTACTTAAGGATTTTTCTTCAATAAAAGTTTGCAGTGGAGCATTCCAGACAGGTCCATGTAAAAAACATACAAGAGAATCAAATACCCAAGAGCTGTCTTCTGTGGTCATTGTTATATCTATTAAGAGCAAAATTTTTTTAAAGAAAATTTGAAATATGTGAACTTTTAGTATATTTTAATTGCCTTATAAGAGATGAAAACTCAATTGAAGTTAAATTCAAACGACCAAGTGATTATACTCAAACTTTATTTTATACTGAATGAATAGCATTAAAAAAAAGAATGAAATAATCAATGTAATATTTGTTTGGTTCGTCGTTTTATTTACTGTCATGGCAATATTATAGCGTAAGTAATATCTTGTATTAATGCCCTATATTTATATACTTATATCCATCAGACAACGAAGTTTAAAGAGTAAATCAAAAATAATTTTCAAATTTGTATGAAAATAGCAAGGGGTGTTAGAAGGGGTCGTTATTTGTGTGTCAGAAAATTTTTTATTTTTACTTATTTTATATTAAAAAAACCGGTTTGTATACTCGTATTCCTTAGAAAAATTCATGAAATTAATTACAAATTTATAAAGCGTTCAACCAAATTCAACCCTATTATAATTACTCTTTTTTAATTAGAAAAATTATAGAAAACCTGTCTTGTGTAAAACTTGAAAAAACTTTAAAAGCAGAAAACAGTGACGTCTTTCCTCGCAAAAAAACAAAATTTAAAAAAAAAAAAAACAAGACGGAGAAGTTAAAAAAATATCTAAAAACTTTATAAAATACTTAATAAATTTTGAAATTTCAAAATATTTATCAAACAAACCTTTTTTTCTCTTAACGAGAAATTACGTCATTGTTTTCTCTTTTTAAAGTTTTTTTCAAGTTTTATACCAGAACCAGACAGTATAAGAAAATTTTCAAAAACTTTGTAAAACTAGAAATTTTTTGTGTGCAGAGCCTGGTATAAAACTTTTTGAACAAAAATGACAGAAATGATGATGCTTTCATTTTCTGAATGTTTTGTTCAAATCTTCTAAAGTTAAATTTAAGGTTTGTTAAAGATGGAATTCTCCTGTAAATTTTTTACATGACATAATTTTCTCCTGTAAAAAAATTAATAACTCACACATTTTTTTGAATTTTATTCCGTCACATTTCTACAGATCTCAAACACGATTCATTATAATGCATTATAATGTATTATCTTGGTAAAAATTAAAAAAATCACTCAAATTCAAAATACATAATTAAATTAAAAAAGCGAGTATTATAGCAATAAAAAAGTTAATCATTGAACAAGCAAAAACAAAACAACAAAAATTATTTATGCATTCAGTCTCAAAAGTTATTTTTTTAAAGGGTTTATTACGTGAGCGTTATTACAAACCCAAATTTTTCGAATTTAAAAGAATTATTTCGCAAAAATTTCAGGAAGAAATTTTCATAGACGAAAAGGGAAATTCCAATTTTACATATTATTAGGAATTGCAATTTTACTTTCGTTTTGACTAAAATTTCAAATTTACTTTCTCCTTTTTGTTTTTTGATTCAAATTAAAAAGAACGCACAAATAATTTTTTAGATTTGGTTTTTATTTGCAGTTTGAATATTATAAATGAAGTACATATATTCTTTTTATCTTTTTATTAAAATTGTTGTATTTCTATTGCATTAACTTAATAATGTGTTTGAATTTGATTCAATTTTTTTAATTAAAAAAATTATAGCTGATTATTGGAAGCAATACATAAAAATTTTTCTATGCACAAATAATTTTTGATGACTGATCAGTAGTGCCCAACAACGTCCCGTTTGAAAATTTTTGTGGCTCTTCGCAGTTATAATGTTCTTTATATAATATGACTCGGAACACTCACTAAAAATACAAACTATTTTATCTAATGAGAAAAAATGGAGACGAATTTAAATAACTTATTTTGCAATATGTAGGTTAAGTTATTTTGTATCAGTTTTAAAGAGTAATTAAAACTATTAACATTGTTTTGGTTCAGCTGTTAAGTTATAATTTAATTATAACAAAAATATATAATTTAAGTATAAAAAAATTGAAAATACATCCTTATTATTATTCATATTTTGTTTGATTTTTAAATATGAGTAAAATTAGAAAAATTTATACTAATAATTTGAAATACAGAATTTGTAAATTATTTGGATTTATAAGATTTTTTTGGTTCTCCAAAATTTCAGGATAAAAACTAGCCCTTGAGTACCTTAAATTTGAATAGCATTGCTATATAAAATTAACCTAAGCACTTTTAAAAATCGTTCCTCTATTATTCAAAATAAAACATGATTAAATTTTTGCTAAATATTATACGTTTATTTTTTTTTTTTAATTTTTTGTCAATTATTTCATTAAAATTATAATGTAATCTATTTATGTTATATATTATGTATATATATATATATATACATATATATTAATATATATACATACTCATATTATATTTATAATTTAGATTTATTTTTATATTTATAAAAAGTAAGAATATGTTTTTTTATGTTTTTGCTTATTCATTATAATTTATTTGTTCCTTTTTTAACCAAATTTTGCCGATTATTTTTTATTTACTTTTAATCTGAATTATCTAAATTAAAATTAATATTGTAATGGGTACTTATGAAAAGTTTTATCCAAATTGACTATTCACAATATAATAATTATGAGTTGATACCATTTTTTATTAAATGGTAAAAAAGCTGCAACGAAAAAAACATTTGATTCATTAAATTTCAATTTGATGTATATACATTTTTAAAAGAATTTCAAAGGTACTCTATTTGAACCGTATCATTAATATAATCGCTATTACATTAAATATGTAGAAAATGATCTTGTTTTTTCACCTCAAATTGGAATTTTTAGAAACCGAATTTTTCTTGTGCGTTGTATATACAAATTGAAAATTTCAATATAAATTTTTATATTATACAAGTCAAACTAACTCATAAGTACATCTTTTCGAAAACTGTTAAACAAAAAGTTTATAAAAATTTAGTAAAATTTTCAAATTCAATTTTAATAGTTTTTTTTCATGGTTTCTTTTACTGTTTCTAATTATTATATTTTTCATTTTTATATTTGAAATGTTGTCATATAAAAACTATTTTGAATGTAAACACTTTTTAAAGTTAAATTTTTAAAGGTTTTCTATTTACAAGAACTAAAAACACAATTACTTAAAAATTTTTTATAACTTTTTATTTTTAATGAAAGGCTAAAATCGAAAATTGCTACCATATTCAATAAATTTAGAATTGAATAAATGACTTTATTCAAATACCATCGAAATACAATTAAAACAAACGAAATATTTTATAACTTTTCTGAAAAAAATATTTTTCGTTTTCCAAAGAAACAATTCTTAAAAAAATTGAATTTGATTTGTAGATATTTTCAATAAATATTTATTATAAAGCCGACATATTTTTCAAGTACAAGCATTTATAAAATGTAAAATAAAGTTTTTTTTAGCAAAAATTAAACTGTATAAAATTTAAATTGGCTGACATATTATGTAATTAACAACTTTAAAGCACATCATATATAATTTGCAATAAAAATAAAAAAATATATTCAAATTTTAAAAAAGATCGCTCTCTACTGAGAGTTATCACAATAAAATAAAAAAAGAAGACTAATTTGTAAAATGTATATGATTTTTTTTATTAGAAAGAAATTTTTAAGCAAAATTTTATCTTCAAAAAAAAAAAGCTTATGTAATTATAGATTGGCATATACATATGTATGTATGTTTTTTAAAATAATTGTACTGAAAAAATTAAAATATTATTCACATTAAAAGAACAAAACATTTCAATAAATATTTTACAATGAAAACTCTATTAAAATATCTACATCTGTATGTATCTAAAATTTTCAAAAAAAATATTTAAAAAATATTCCATTTTCATAAATTAGTTGAGAATTAATTTTAAATAAGACAAATATGTATATTTATTATATTATAATAGTTTTTCACATGAGTATTTTCAAAGAAATTTTATTTTAAAAAATTTGATGGATTGGTATTAATTTATATATCTATCTTTCTTAGATTTTTTAACTTTTGATTTATTCTTTCCAACTCTTTAGCTATATAACTTTTTAATATTGAAATATTGATTTTAATATGAAATTTTGTGACCAAAAAAAAAGTCAACTAACAGTCAATTTAAAAAAAGTATAGCATTTACATATTAATTTTTCATCATAATTCGGTCGTTAGAAAGAAAACACAGAAATATTAAAATAGTACATAGTAAAAACTTCTAGTTTCACACATTTGTTCTTTTGTTTTGTAACTAATAAATGAATTCCCACTCTAATGTTTATATTTACAAATAAAATAATTGAAAAAGTAAAATATAATGCAATTTTAATTAAAAAAACAAATTCTAAATTAAATTATATTTTAGTAACTTAAATTCTACGTATTAAATCATACAACAAGTATTTGTCATATAAATTGAATTAAAAAATCTTTTTTAAGTATGTTTATATGTATAAATATATGTTTTAAGAAAATATGAGTGCTTGCTTACACATATTAAGAAACAGCCAAGTTTTATATATGTATTCTGTAACTCCATCAATTTTATAAAACAAATACTCTGAAATAATACTTTTTAATTGAAATTTATGCAAAATGTTTTGACAACAAACAAAAAAAAAATTTATTAATTTCTTTTCCTTTGTTTTTTTTAAATATATCTATTTTTTATTTACTTAAATTTAAAACTTTTATTTTAAATTTTAATTTTTTATATCTATATAATATTTAATATATTTATAGTTTATCTTGTTTTTTTTAATGATTTTTGTCCAATAATTTCTGTTTGTTTTATTCTCCTTATTTTTTCACAAAACTTTTTCCTCCTCATCTTGTTGTAAAAGTATTTATAATTAAGTATTAATTATATTTATAATTACATAAATTGTAATTTTTAACTAGTATATATTTTTAATACATACCTTAATATTAATTTTTATATTTAAAATAGTATAAATTTAGTGCTCTATAAATTATTTTTTTTTTTTTGTTTTAATGTTATGAATATGAGAGTTTGCAACGTCAGTAATTATGAAGATTTGGGAATTTTTTTAGTAATTTTATTTATATAAATTTTGCAATCGGTATATAAGTACTCAAATACTCAGAAAACAAACATACCACAAAATATAGAAAATATTTTATATTATAAAAAACAAAAGAGAGGTACGTTGCAAGTTTTCTTTTTATATATTGAATGCTGATTTAAATTTGTATCAGTTTAAAAACATTTAATTTCTAAAAAAAATGAATGAATTACGTAATAATTATTAATTTTAGTTCATTACCTTTTCAAACATTAGCAACTTTAATCACCAACATTTATAAACGGTAAGTTACCAACAGTAATTATGTTTTATAATAAAAACGAAATCTCTAATTGAAATTTCCTTAAAAAATTTTCTACTTTAGGTAAATTATTAGTGTTACTTTTCTCGCATTAATTAAATATATAATTTTCCATTATAAATATCAATTAATTCTCTTAATTTAGTTATTGCTATGCAATACGAGCTTTCTTTTGTTGCGGTGCGACTGTATCAACTTCTTCCTCTTCCTCTTCGTCTGAGTCTCCTTCATAATCCACTAAACCCTAAAATGAAATGAATTTAAACAATGAAGTTATTTTTTTTAAACGAAAAAATAGAAACACATTCACACAAAATTTGTTTTTGTGACGTTGCAACAAACAAAATATATACCTTCTTGAGAACATTCCCAGTTGCATTAACAGTTTGATTTACATCTAAACCTAAATTAAAATCTTTATTTGAATTTTCTACATCTATTGTATACTTAGTCGAATTACTCAATGATGTGGTAGTTTGAGTTGTAGTTAAAGAAGCTAAATCATTTTTCTCATGTATAGAATTGGAATATGATTTCTCAACATCAATATCAGAATTATTCGATACGTTTCTGTTAAGTGAATCTTCATCTTTATTAAAATTTTCCTTCGTCACATCAACATTGGTGTCATTGCTTATTAGTGCAGTTGGTGTTATTGTTGTTGATGTCGTATTTTGAGTTGCCGCTAGACACGGTTGTGTATCTGAAGAATTTTCATCAGAGGATGATGATGCGGAAGGTGATGAGGACGACGACGATGACGATAACTCTGTCGCTGATATTATGGAATTTGTGTCATTATTATTATTAATATTTATACTGTCGGCAGGACTGGAATTCAATGAATCTATTACAGACATTGTAGTTGAATTGAGGGAAGAGCTGGTAGCATCTGAATCTAAAAAGCTTCTACTTGCATCATTTTCACTTGAATTTAATGTTGAATCTAATGAAGTGTGTTGTTGTCCTCCAACCATGTTAGAAATAGATGTCGAATCAACTTGTGACGATAAATGATTTTCGTTTTCTGCATTTTTGCCAATTTGCTGTTGTTGTTGCTGCCGTTTAAGTTGTTCTAAAAGGGCATAATCTGCAGCATACAATTGTTGTTGTTGCTGCTGCTGCTGTAAATGTTGCAGAGGATGTTGATGTTGGGAGGGGCTTGATGATTGTTGATTATTACTTGAATTTTGTGTACTTAAAGATGGAACAGATTGATTTAAATTATTATTTGAAGCTGCAGCTCCGATCATACTAACTGATGCAGAGTTTTTCTGTTGTGGAGATGACTGATGTTGAGTTGGGCCGTTTTTGTCGACTGCAGTATTATTTCTTATTTAATAAAAAAAGTCATGAACTTGTTTAGTATTTACTTACGTTTACCATATGTTTCTAGTTCTTCGGCAAAGTCATCATCTTCATTAAACCAAATTTCCTCTTCTTCTTCCAGCTGTCTTTGATCGCGTCGATACCGGCTGTTTCTCATCAATAACTTATCACGGTCTTTTAATCTCTCTTGATATTGATCATATCGGGTTTTTAAATATTTAAACGTTTGTACATATTCGATTTCATCTACAATTTTGCTGAATTTTTCCACAAAATAAACACACAATGTTTTGATGTCTTCCAATTTAACAAATTCAAAAAGTTCTAATATTGCAGATTCTAGCAAATTATACCTGCCATTATTTCTTATGAATGCGTCAACAACTGGTGCAAATAAATCGTTTTTTACAATGTGTCTTAATTATGACAAGAAATAAAAATATAAAACAAGATAGTTACAAAGTCATAAAATTTATATTAGTTAAAGTTTAAAGTGGTTTACCTGTTGTAGAACTCATCTTTAAGTGCAATAATTTTTCTTAAAAGTCTAAGGGCGCCAAGAACCAGGAACGTATGTACGCTTTTCATCAGCACTAAAATTCTCTTTAGGAGATCTTTTGACGTTATAAAATTTTTAATATGATAAGTGTGATGCTCAACACAGAATGATAAGATATCTAAAACTAATCCCAATAATTGTACAGTTTGATAATCTTCATTTTGAAGTTTATCATCCATTGTATTTAATAAAAGTGGAGCTAAAAGTAATATTATTTCTTATATAACAATACCAGCAAATAAAAAGAGTATAATATTCATTTACCAATAAGTGTTTGAATACTATGCTTATAAAAGAATGTTAAAAAATCAGTTTTTTCCGTTAACATGTTTTCAGGATCAAGCAATATTCTAATAACTCCCATCAACTGTACAGCCCCACCAAGCTCTGGCTCGGAATCTGACAGCATTTGTTCAATTGCAATATTTATTAACATTTGTTCCTAGAAATAATATAAGGAGTATTAAGAATTTACTAAAGAGAAAGTTTGCAAATATACCCCATCAGTCTTATTAGCTTGCTGTAAGGTATAATTCCTTACGATTGACGGTGAATACTCCACTATCGCCGTTAAAATATCTATTGATGCTGATTTTGTTTCCTGATCATTCATAACCAATGTAATTTCTAACGCTTGTAAAACACCCAAACATGTTAAGGTTTTGTAAAATGTGTCTTTTCCTTGCGGCTGCAAATTTTGTGCATAATTACAAAATTCTTTCAAAAATAAAACAGCATCTCTCCGCTTTGAATCTGGCGTTTGAGGATCCGTTAACAGTGCAAACAAATCAATTAAATATTTTTCATCTTCTTGTACTAATGTCACAATTTCAACTTTGTTAAAGAATATAAAGCTCGAAAGTGTATTTAACATGTTATCTTCAACGAAAACTGATGGCGTTGGTAATATCATATCTTGTATATATTGCACCCTATACGTTTGATGGATTTTTGCCAATAAATCTGGATTTTTAATTGGAATCACCTCGCGAAATTTAGCATAATTCTTAATATAATGTCGATGTTTCTTGGTTTGAGTTAAACTTGGGTCGTATTCCAAACAGCCAACAACATCAAATATTGTGTCGTCAGCAAACATAATTTCAAATAACGCGTTTTTATTTAAAAGGAAAATATTTTTGAATATTTCGAAAAGATGATGTAAGCCTTCCAAATTATCTAAGTCTTCGCATACGTGAAATAAATGTAACAGTTTTTTAATATAATTTTCTGTTTCTAATGCCATTGCTAGCTTTTCTTTGCGAAGTGGTGTAGTTAGTCCACTTGCGATTGTTTCTGATATATCTTCGAGACGCGATAATTCGCATGGGGGCAGTTCAATTGGCGGAGCTGAATCAGACATTTCTTCAAAACGTTCATCCTCTGACTCTTCCACTATATCTTGGGTAATTTCAACAGATGGATCTTTGCCTTGGACCTAAGTTATCAAAAATTATTATATTATTTTAGAGAAACTTTTAATTTTGAAAGCATATTTTTCTTTTCTTACTTGACAAATTTTTTCCCATATTTCATCACACCCAGCCTTCTCTTGAAAACTTAAAGCTAAATCGAAATTTTCGCCTTCTGACCACACTATCAATGTATCTTGTTGCTTTTGATATGCAGTATCAGGTTGAATTTTACTTTCTAACAGTAAAGAACCATCGGCTTCAGCTCGAACTAATAAACATATTCCTAAAAACCACCAAATAATTAAAATGTTTTATTTTTAATATTTTATACTTACCTTTCAGCCTGTCAACATAATTTGAAGAAACATGACCAGTTCCTCTGTCATCCCATTGTCTTTCTGCGTTTAGAGCATACAATTTAACTCTTCTCCGAGTATCCGTAGTCATATTAAATTTTCTCTTTTTTCGTCGTTTAGCGATACGATGTATTGGATGTCGTAATTTATTATTAGAAAATCCAAATAAAAATTTCCGTTTCAATTGTTGTTTTTTAATTTGTTGTGCCGCCACTTTTCCCAATTTAAGCAAATTTTTGGATATACCTGTTTTCTATTTTACGTTAAAATATTTATATTGAACAATTTTAAAATTAAAATCATTTAACTTTGCTTAAATCAATTTTATTTCTTTAATTTGAGCTGCAAATTGAAATTTAAAATATTTTAATATAGGTATGTAATGTTGACATTAAAAAAAAATTGCTTTTTCCAGACAAAACAAGCATTTTTTCGTTCTTAAAATATTCTTACTCTTGTTGCTATTTTCTTTTTAAGAATACAGAAATATTGGCCAGTGTTTTATTTACACCTAAATCAAAATTGATCATTTAATGGGATTATATGTAATTTCTATATTATTATTGAAATACAGTCACTTTTCATTTAATAGAAATGTAAGTTTATTTAATAATGATCTAAAACTAAGATATCTTTGACCATAAATATGTGTATATATTTGGATATGTGTATATATATATTTAGATATCTGTAATACTTTTTTTAATGACAATTGAGAAGTCTCAAGGTTATAATGAAATGCAAGTGCATTTATTTTTCATTTTTAACAAAGCAAAAACAAATAAACAGGTAGTGGCATCTACGTATATAGCTACCTATCAGATACATATATGCATTATCAAATTTACCAAAAATACCGGCTAAGTAAATAAAATTGATTATATATGTATATGTAAATATATGTTATATAAAAAATCTAAAATATAAATTATGAAAATCTTTCAGATAAGAAAACTTCTTTAAAAATTAATGTAGCATCCCAAATATATTTTGCATTACAAACTAACCATCTACCTAACCAGTATTGTCCAATTGGTTTTAAAAATTATCCAATACAGATACATTATTTTTTTCTCTGTACCTACGTAAATTTAATATTGCAAATTAAAAAGCACTGCCTAATTTTGAAAAATAAAATATTTTCTTTAAATATTTTTTCTTTATATTGCTGTATTTTTATTACAAATTTCAATATAAAACATATATAAAAAAATTTTTTAAGTGTACGTGTAGATACTTATTCCTAATTGACTAGAAAACAGCATGCGTAATATTTTTTTTGTCTTTTTTTAACTTTTAATCTTCACAAAAATATATTATATCAAAAAAATTTGCAAATTTAAAAAAAAAAAATTGAAAAAATTATTTTACGTTGTGAAATTATTATTCACATATTAATAAATATTTAATTTAATGGGGGAAAAACTCAAGTAGGTTGTCAATCTACATAAGTACATATTTTTGTCTGGAAATCAATCTTAGAATATTTGCATGTCTAATTTTACTAAATCACCTTAACACGAAATACTTCTTTTTCTTTTTTAAGAATTTCCTTTAAAAAGATTTTTTGCGAAAATAAATGCTATTTAAATTATTTTAATTTTCAGTTCAGCAGTACACCAACAAAATTTTTCTAATCGGCGAGAACTTGAGTATATGTAGATATATTTTTAAATCCGTCTTCACTTTTCTGGCACAATTTTCGCTTTTAGAAACAGATTTTTGGTTTAAAATATCTTAAGATAACTCATTTAAATAATTTTTATAATTTGAGCAATTTTCTAAATATAACTTCTTGATAAATTTTATGAAAAAAATTGACGTACTCATTTCACTCGCCACAATATTTTCGCCATATTGGAAATTATAGCAACGCTTCGTTTCGTTGGAGGGAGAAGAATATATATAAATGAATATGAGTTTCACTTGAACCCATCATAACAGAACCCATGTTAAAGGCTGTCAAATATTCACAATGATGTAAAAAGAGTCATTCCAAAATGTCAAATTAAGAATAATAGTTTAACTATATTCACAATTATTTGACAATTTTTTAATTTTAAAATTTGTTATAATACTATGTTTAGACTATAAGGGATATACATGCTTTCCTCCTCGATTAACATTGTATAGTTAGCTTCAAACTACATTAACTTGTTTTCAGCTGAAATTTTTTTATAAGAGAAGAAAAATTGATCTAATATTTTGAAATTTTTCATTAAAAATATCTTAAGAAATAACAATTAATTTATATACACTTTTACAATTTTTATAATGCACTTAGTATGCAGAATTCTAGATACGCCAACGAAGCGAAGTACCTTGGTATGACTCTCGACACAAAACTTAAATGGACGGAGAACGTAAAAAAGAAAAAAGCAGAGTTGAATATTAAACTCAGAAAGATGTATTAGTCTAGAAAGACATTCTGAGTTCAATAAACATAATAAACTCTGCTATACAATCAGGTTCTTAAGACTATATGGACTTACAGCTCTGGGACTGCACCAAATACAGTAATATTAAAATTATAGAAACGCCATGGTATGCAAGTAACGACATTCTACATCAAGATCTAAATATCCATACAGTGAAAGAAGAAATAAAAAAACACGCCATAAGTCATCAATCAAGATTACTCCGGTATGACAATCCCGAGATGATGCAAATATTAGATGTTAGTCAAGTGCGAAAACGCCCTAAACGTATCAGACCACTTGAGCTCGTCCGGTAGACTAAAATAATATTGATAACAAAGAACCCATCGAAGGATGGGCCCATAATCCCCATATCAAACCAGGAAAAAAATTGCTAGGTGGGAATTACTTTCTTGGTTGCAATATAAACTTTATGATAAAAAAAAATGCAGAACTTAAATGGACAATAGAAATAAAGATTTACGTGTTATAGTGTTCCTATCGATGAAAGTGGGTGGTATGAAAGCAAAGTAACGTTGCCTATCATCGTTCGTTCAACAAATTTGTGACATAGTCGCTCTGGATAGTTGCATATGAACATTAGGTACAATATCAAAGAGCAACAACCACAAAAATAAACTGCGGAACGAATATACGTTTATGAATAGTTTGAATGAACATGTAATAGAAAGCAAGTAGTGCAATATTTCACTGTATGGTAGTGCAATGTTTGTGTAATATTTTCACTTTAAAAATGTTTATGAAAAACATAAGTACAAAAAGCAAAGGGGACGGATAGCAATTTTTCTTTGAATGCAGTTGTATTTTCCCAATTGTACAGATGGAGTCGAAATTGACCTCAACAGTACCTCAATTTCATTGATGGTACGAACAAAAATATTACATCAAATAACAATTTTGTTAGAAACGAAGTTTAGTAATAAAATTAAAACAAAATGTCAGTTATAATCGCATTGAATGCTTTCAATCATCACAATAGAAAATTTTTAAAAATATTTAATATACATATTTTCTTAATAGATTACATTGCAGAATACCATCTGTCAAAATTCCTAAAAAGGCAATTTTTTCTATCTCAGTAGCACCCAAATCTAGGTAAAGAATCCATTCACTATTTATAATTTCAATGTCCAAAAAATTATCTTGGAAAAAAATTGGAAATACCGGTAAATGATTTGCCAAAAGCGCTTTTTCTACTTTCAAGAAATATGCATTGACATTCAGAAGAGACTTAATCTAAGATATAACCTCAGTCAAATAAATGTCGAATATAAAAACATTGTCTGACATCTTACTTTTTCTACAACATATAATAGGAAAAACTATTTTCATCCGATTTACTTTCAAATTTTTAATAGTAAATCACAACAATTATTTTTTGTGGAAGATCAACTGATTTTTATTTTGGATATAATTTTGGGAGCATATATATATTTTTATGTAAAGTCTAAATTTTATCCGATAATTTCAGTCTTATATGTAAACTGTCATTAGACCCTGTCAAAGATTTAAGTTAAAAACAGAACTAGAGCGAGTTTGCGCGGAGAAATATCAGGTTTCATATGGAATACAAATATTCAAATGGGACTGACCAGAATCAAGCGTAATTACCGCAGGAAGTTTAACAGCCGGCGGTGGAATAACCAAAATTATTTTTTTACCACTAGCTGTTCTGGGTTGCCTCTTCACAGTTCGTATGTAAACAGCAATTTCAACAACGTCAATGAGTTATAATAGTGCAATATTGATACAATTATAGTAAATATTATATCTTACATATACAATTTTTTATATTAATAACAATGTTGATTGCAGTACTTTTAACTAAAAAAGTAGCCTTTTTTTGTCAAAGTTCTCGAAGCTTTAAGCTGGATCCATTGATTCGTCGGTTTTGAGCTAAGCTAGTTAAAGACGAACTATTTTTTTGTTCTCTTGACTGTTCGTTAGTTTCGCTAAAATAAGCTGAGCGATTTTTTTTGTGACAGTTATTTGACATTTTCTTGACAACAATAGTATTTCGTTGCAGTAGTCCAATGTATAAATTACAATTAAAATTTATAAGCAATAGGGTTACATATAATTTTTTGGAGTTGAAAAATATTTTCTTATTAATTTAAAACATAAAATAGACAAAAGACAAATGATTCGCGGGTTATTAAAAATCTAATGAAGGCAAAGGCTGGGTTATACCAATTTTAAAGGAAAGGCCAAGAAAAGGGCTTTATACTAATCTAGCTCAGATGATAAAGCAGAAAGACAAAGAAACTTTAACAAATTTCTATCTAATGGATAAAGAAATGTTCCTGTCAAATATTTAATGATGTTGTTTCCATAATTTACAACACAAATTCAGTCAAGATATAAGGCAAGTGGAGACTTGTGTTAAAAAAATGTCAAAATTAAAAACAAAATTGAAGCTTATTTAATATTTTCACTTCCATCAGTTATTGAGTTACTTCATTCAGTTACTTCACATCCATAGAAGTTTCAATTTTAAATTGTAATATGGATAATCAAAACAACAATACAAAAAAAGTATTAATGATTTGCTTGGGTGTGTTATACACATTTATATTATTTGTATCTACTACTTAATAGGAAATGAAAACTATTGCATAAGTAGGTATATTAAATTTATAGGAAATATTTGTAGATCACCAATTGCGGAAGCCGTGTTCAGGCGCAGAATAGAGCAGTTAGGAAAAACAAATGACTGGCTTGTAGACAGTGCAGCAGCGCTTGTCGGTGAGCATACTGGTAAACGACCGGATAAGAGAGCTTTAAATATCTTGGAAAAAAATCATTTTTGCTATGATGGAAGGGCTGGTCCCATTACAAAAGATGATTTTTTCACTTTTGATTATATTTTTGGAATGGATAAACCAAATATGATTTCACTAAACAAAATGAAACCCAAAGAATCTAAAGCACAGTTGCTTATGCTTGGCGATTATGGATTACCAGTAGATGATAAAATTATTGTAGATCCTTACTATGTAACTTACCTTTCGTTCTTTCAAAATAATTTGTTTAAATTATATCAAATTTTATAGTTAAGCGGGGAAGAACCATTTGTTAAAGTTTATGATCAATGTGTAATTGCATGTGCAGAATTTCTTAAACAATTTTACAATGCAACTTAATAATAGATTACAAAAAAAGTGTGTATAGTTTAACCCGATAGAAAAATTTAAAGTGCTTAAATAGTAAATATTTAGTATTTAAATAGTTAAACATTGAGTGTACACAATAGCCATAGATAAGTTTCGTTTGCTTATTTTCTCTAAAAAGCATTTGGCGGTATGGTATTGGAATAAGGATTTTACTTAAATGCATACATACAAAAAAAATATAAAATTTGTAGAAAATTTTGTACAAATAAATACCAAAAGTGGGAAATTTGTGTTTTTCCGTGAAATAAAAAAAGTAAGCTTGTATGTATTTCTGCAATGAGTTACATAATTGATTTGTGCAAATTAAATGTTTCACTTATTAAAATTTTCATTAAAAAAAAATAGGTTTATTTTAGTTTCAAGTTGTTCTGAAAATCTAAGTTTTATTTTAGTTGTTTTATATTTAACTGAAGTATTATAAAATACTCGTTTGAGTTTTCTGTTCCAATAGTCCCATTTCAAATTTTCACTTATTTAGCTGAAATGATGAATTTTCAGAAACATGAATTTCAAGAATAAAACAATTAGGAAATTTTTTTTTAATTGGTGTGAAAAGAAAACTTAATTTTATTCGGAATAAAATACTTTTATTTTTCTCTAATATATTTCATGCGCTACATACGCACTTTATCAAAGCTGATTTTCTTCTGGTATGTAGCGACGCGTATGTAGCGCACGAAATATATTAGCGAAAAATAAAAGTATTTTATTCCGAATAAAAGGAAGTTTTCTTTTCACACCAATTAAAAAAAAATTATATTTCGGAAAAATTATCAACCATTGAAAAAAAAAAAAATTTTTTTGAACAATTAGGAAAATTGAGTTAAATGAAAATCAATTTAAATGCAGTTTACACATCAGGCAATGTTTGACTTAAGTTTGGCAACAGATTAAATTCGATGAGATGTTCTGTTTACACATTCATCATTTATAATTAAAAAAATTTTTTTCAAAAGATTTAATAAATTTAGCTTTAAGCTTTGTCTCAGGAGAGCTAAACATTTTCAACCATTGATGCAAAAGTTGTCGTATAAACACAGCTATGGCTACTTTAATTAAGTGCTCGGTCTACATTCTGCACCATAATTGCATACGGCAAAGCAAGTGGTTGTCGAAATTTATATTGCTGCGCATACACATAGAAGTCTCTCTTTAAAATTACCCCACTGTTGGAACTCGATATTCAGATAGCAATATCCCAACTTGATTGAATACCTTGTCAATAACTAAAACTTTAATGTACATAAATACATAAATATTTAAATGAGCTTTTGAAAAATACGATTTTATTCACGAAATACATAAACAAAGCAATGAAAAAATTGTGGTTGTCAAACTGCTATCTTTCATTTTCAAAAGCAGTTAAGTCATTGCTACCCATAATATATTTCTGTCAATAAAAGAACTATAGAATTAAATTCGGGTGCTTACTTTTTATACTTAAATTATTTGTATGTGATAAACGTAAAAATAATTTGTATTTGTTCATATTTACATTTAAATACATATGATTATTTGACGTACCCAATGATATTTGGCGTCTGTCAATGTCATATATGAGTATGTAAGTATGTATGTGGATCACATGTATTAAAGATGTTCTGGGAAGCATTGTGCCTAATTTCTAATATTGTCAATGTCAAATCTACCTAACGATGTGTTGTGATTAATAAAAAACAGTGATCTGTCAGAACATATTATTTTTGCAAAAAATCTATTTCAGGGAGGTATATTATACAGCAATTAGAATATTGCTCCTCAAAATATTTACTGACAAAAACAAAGTTTAATTTCACATTCAATTTTAAAAAAGTCAGAATGACAACAGAGAAAAAGAAGGTTCTTATGGTTTGTTTAGGTAATTTTTTAATTTCTATAAAAATGAAATGTTGGAAACGTTTGAATACTTTTTTTAGGGAATATTTGCAGATCACCTATAGCTGAAGCCGTGTTTCAAAGTTCTGTGGAAAAAATGGGTAAAACTAATGATTGGGTTGTAGACAGTGCAGCCATTATTGGCTATCATACAGGGAATCGGCCTGATGAAAGAGCATTAAACGTTTTAAGAAGAAGAGGACATGATTATAAAGGGAGAGCTCGACCAATTTCAGATAATGATTTTAAAACATTTGATTATATTTTCGGAATGGACAAAGAAAACATGTCTGATTTAAATGAAATGAAACCTGAATCAAGTAAATCAAAGTTATTAATGCTCGGTAATTATGGTTTGCCAAAACATGAAAATATTATTGAAGATCCTTATTATGTAGGAATTCAAAACAAATTTGAAAAAAATGAATAATTCGAGTTTCTTTCTAGTTAGTAGGTGAAGCTGCCTTTGAGAAGGTTTATGATCAATGTGAAATTGCATGCACTGAATTCTTGAAACAATTTTATGATACAAAAAGCATATAAAGATTACAATTTACTTTAATAAAAATGTGATGTATATTTTAAATTTTATTTTCATTAGATATTCCATTATATAACAAAATTTTGTTACGTAGTCTTTCATAAATAAATTTCAAGCATTGTATACTTGGTTCCAAAGCCTAAAATATACAAACTTAATATTTCGTTAAATCAATTATTTTCTGATTGGTGGCTTACAGTGATAACTGGAATAATGGGTTTTTGGTGGTATACTTCCTTCTTTGTTCTTATGATTAATATATATTTAACACATAGCTAAAAATAAAATCTTAAATATATTCGAATCGTTGTTTTATTTAATATATTTCACATTTTCAATCACTTCGTTAATAACCGTGTCAAATATATATTCAGTTGGCAGAAAAAAGGATGACTTCTGGTTTAAGAAATAAGTTGTTTCGGTGCGCAATGCCAAGCCTCCATAAAAACATATTGAATCTAAATTTTAATTAAATAAATCGATTTCTATTTTCTACTTTAAAAACTTTGGAGCCAAACCTTTCTTGATTATCTTAAGCATTCGACATATTAAAAATAATAAAATGCATAATAAGCACAGGTCAATAAATGGTAATCTTGAGAAGAAATTCATATAAATTAAGAAACATAATAAATTTATAGCAATGTTTTTAAAATTTTGTAATCTTTCTTCATTATAACTTAAATTTATTAAATTAACTTCTATAGTATCACGACTTTGTTCCAGAATTTCGACTCTTATTTTTCTTTTTTTGTTATAAGAGGCGAAATCATTTTTTATTTCAGGAAAAATAGGTTTATTTTTCATATTTAAATTGATCTAATACATCAGGTAACACATAACTAGGCGTTTATAGATTTCTTGTCAAAATCATAGACATGCTACATTAATAGACTGACAGTAGAATCTATCTCTCCTTTTCTCTCTAACAACTACCAATTTCCGCTTTAAAAATTTATAAATTAAAACTAATACGGCTTTGACCAACGAATTAGAAATACTAGTTCTAGTAGTTGGCTTTGACAATCCATAATTTTACTAAAATAAAGAAAATTTGGAAATGAGACTACTAGAACAGATTCCTCAAATTCTTTGAAACTCAAATACAACTATTGTTTTTTTAATAAAAATTGAAATAAAACATTTTGTTTTAAAATTAGATATTTTAGTCAAACTTGAGTTTTATTAAACAATGAATTTGAAGCTCTTTTTTGTTATTTATGTTTAACTATTTCATTGAATTGATTTTTTGTTTTATTTATTTAATTATAGAAATTTTTGTATGCATAAAAAAAATATTGACTTCAAAATAAAAAAATTGAATTTGGAATAAATAAAAACTAAATTTAAAATAAAAAAATAGAATTTGCTCAGCAATAATTGTACAAAAGCTACATTTATGGATATGTGGCTTCATTAGTTATTCTTACGATTAATCGCTTATTTAGATAATTGACAGTCACTTCCCACAAAAATTCCATTCAGTCCATTAGAATTAAACAGCTGTGACTGTCTAATGTGATTAAATGGTTTAATTCAATTCGCAAAAAGCTAAATTTTATTTGCAAAAGGATTAATTCTATTCGCAAGAAGTTTAATTCCATTCGCAAAAAGATTAATTTAGTTTGCAAAGGGTTAATTTAAAATACTGTATTTAATGGTTGAAAGTCAAAACTTTTAAACTGACTCAGGTATTTTTGACAGACGACATTTAAAATATTCTTGAGAAATTAATAAGTATTGCTGTAATAAAGCAAGATGACTATAACTACTATTCTGTATTTTCAAAGCATTGTATTGTATTGTAACACATATATATGCTAATAATATAGATAATAATAATAAAAATAATATAAATTAAAGCAAGAATGAAGAACATAATAAAAATAAATTTCTTAATTTTTATAGGACTAATTTTATTTGGTAATTGAGTTAACCTTTTTAAGTAACTTTTATATTGCTCTGAGAATTGACATTATTAAAATTTTTGAATATCTTAAAAATCTTAATATGTACTATATATTTCCTAGCGAATACGGAAAGAATTAAAGAAAAAATGTACGACGACGTTATAGGATCAGGTTGCTTCCGTCGTTTTAATGGCACACATCAGTTTGGTTGTTCGTCAAATTTTTTCGGGTCATCTGGAGTATTACATTCAATATCTTCCAAAGCAGATTTGGACTTTATTTTGGAGAATCCCAGATCTGCTCCTTATGTCGCAGTCCTTACACCCTATTTATTCACAAAAGAAAATGTATTAAGAATAAGAGATGAGGGTGGAAAAAGCGTGTCAGGAATTGTTCTAATTAATAATGTTGAACAAATGACTCATTTTAGTGGAGAATCCAAATGTCCAAATCAATATAGTTCAATTAAAGAACAAAGTTGTGATGAAAATCGTCCTGACTCGCTATGGAATCCACTTGGTAGTGGGCTATTATTAGAAGACTTCAAATTTCCAATTTATTACGTATCGGATAATGACACAATAGACAAGATTTTAAATTGTTTTTCAAGATTTAATAATTACGATAAAGAAAACCAAGCAAGTCGATCACTGTGTTCAATAGAAATAACAACTCCAATGGCAGGGGCTGGAAACTCGGAAATTTGTTTAAGAAGGTATTTTTAAAGGCATAAAATATTCGCATAATTACTACTTTATTTTTACTAGTATTTTCGATTACTAACACTTTTTTTTTCAGATCTAAGCCGTCAGTAGTATTGTACCCTACAAAGTATTGCGAACCTTTGGAAGGCAGTAGTATATTTGCAACATTATTTCCTAGAGAACATACAGATGACTTAAATTCAGATAGCATCGATGCAAAAGAAAAGTTTATTTTGCTTAGTACCCGTATAGACACAGCGTCAATGTTCGAAGGATTAGGTTTGGGTGCAATGGATTCATTAGTTTCTTTCGCTACATTGTTAAGCATAGGCCACGTACTTAGCAAAATATTAGAGGAAAAGAATTTAAGTCCAAATAGAAAAAATTTCAACGTATTATTTATGTTTTTTAATGGAGAGTCTTTCGATTATATTGGTTCTCAGCGGCTTGTTTATGATTTGCAGAAACTATCTTTTCCAAGAAATCATCATCGCCGGCCGATATCAATGGATCAAATTTCTTTTATGATCGATATAGGAACTCTAGATGACCTCAGCAATATTAAAGTGATAACAGCAAAACCAGTTCCGCAAGCAAATACTCTTTTACAACTACTTAATTCATATAACCGGCAGTTTAATATTTCATTTGATTCTATGGAAACATTCAATTTACCACCTACATCCGCTCAATCATTTTTAAGAGAAAATCTGTCATTTCCCGTTGCAATATTGAACTCAAAACCAACAAATAAATTTTATCATTCAATATATGATGATGCATATAATATAAAGTATAAATATTACAACAAATCAGAATTATACAATTTTAATGAATTAATGAACTCAAAAAAAGCTGCCGATTTGTTCAACGGGGACTCTATTCAAATGAAAATTCGAAATATATCTTCGGTTGTTGCTTTTGCTTTGTATGAAATGCTTACAGACAGTACTTATCATGATAATGAAGATAAATACGCAAATCCGATATTGATCGATGAGTTTTTATACTGTTTTCTTGAATCAGCTGATTGCCCATTATTTAAAGCTGCGTCTCATCCAAATAGTTTACCAGCACTACCAGTTCCACCATCTAGGTAATTGGTATAGTGTATATTATTCCCCGTATTTTAATTGATTTTATTTATTTTATAATAAACATATAACGAACTTAAATTTTTAGGTATATTAGTGTTTACAGAGCATACCAAGACACAGCAATTTGGACGTACCGATTGTTAGGTTATTTAATGTCGACAAAACAAAAAATTTCCAAAGAGAATTGTACAATTCTACCGTTACATTGGTTTTCTGGATATAATAATACAGGGGAGTGTAGGCTCACAACACAAAACACTACAAAGGCTATAAGTCCAGCTTTTGCTGATCCTGGTCAGTATTGATTTTCTGAATTTACACCAAGAATTATTATTTCTCTATATTTGTGGCATAAACTACGTAGGTCGTAGATAATAAATCGTACATAATTGCTACATACGTCAGCAATTTTGTAAACATTTTTTAGGTTTACTAAGAACGTTACTGGGTTGAGTCCAGCAATTTTATCTGGTTTTCTCTCGCTTTAAACTTGTTACTATACTTTCTTGTCCAGTTTTCTTACGTGTGCACATATTTTTAAACTTTATTTTAAAATTTTAGATTACGATTGGAAGTCTGGAAAATATTCATCATGGACAGAATCTACATGGACTATGTTCAGTGCTAGAATATATGTTCGCCCTTCAAGAATTCACGAAACTCTTGTTTTGTCATTTGGTTTCATAGTATTGATTCTATCGTTTGTTACAGTTTACTTAGTAAACGGTAAATCAGAAACATTGTTTGAAAACATTCCCGTTTCAAGCACGTAAGTTCTTTTTTAATATAATTTGATTTTGTAATAAAAAAAGAAATTATTTTCTTTAATTTAAGGTCAACGGAGCCTGCTGCATGTTGAAGTTGGAAAAAGTTGAATAAAAAATGCAAAGACTGCTTTAAATATTTAGATATGATGTTTAATATTTCAAGTGATTTAGAAAATATAAAACTAATTCAGATTAATTTGTCGCTTCTTAAACTATTATTTAAGATATTTATTGTTACAAAAATGTATTTTTATCTTTAATCTTAACTTAATACACAAATAACATTATATCAAATAATTAGAAAATGCTTATTACCTTTTTAACCAATGATAATTTTAACTTTGAATATTGAAATATTTTGGAAGTGATCATTGACTTCATGACAACTATTATGTAATATTAATTTGTACAATAAAAGACATTTAGTATAGCATTAAATATGTAATATAATGTTCTTCCTCTACAAAATATCAAAAAAAAATCTGATGTGGTCAGCACATAACCGACAATGTGTATTGTGTAATCAAGTGAAAGCGTTACATTAGTAAGTTTATAGTTAACATACCTACAAAAATGTAAATTTGGCTCTTAGTATTGTTTCAGATCAGTTTTCAAGCCCTGATCTTTCCAAAAAATTTATATGTTCAGTGTTTTAATACAAAGAGTTTAGATATTAAATTTCAATGGAATTGGTTGATTATATCTCTTTATATACGCAAAAATGTATATTTGGCCCGTAGTAAACGTCCAGTTGCTTATGTCTAATTTCATCCAAAATTTAAGAGGTTTCGCAGATGGTCGAGCGAAGCTTATATATGAAATTTCTAGTAAATCGGTTTAGTATTTTCTTCAAAATGGTCAAAAATGTAAAACAGGCCCGCTAAAAAGTGCAGTTCCCGAGGCCTGATATATCCCAAAAGTTGATCAATCAGTCATCGAAATAAACTTACATATAAAATTTCATCAAAATCGGTTCAGCCGAACTTGAGATACACGCGTGCACACACAGACCGACAGATCGACAGGTTGCTAAAAATAGTTTATTTACACTTCCCTACTAAGTGCATTCCCTCCGAAAATTCGATATGCAAAATTTGTTGCCATCACATAACCTACCTATTGTGTACACAATACGGTCGGGAAAAAGTAGTGTAATATAGTTCTAAATCGGAGAGTAGAATTTTATTTTGCAGTTTATAAAAATAGACATAATATAAAATTATAATATTAAAATTATAATATTAATATGCGAATATAGGAATATGAATTACTTACTAAAACTTAATATGCATAAGAATATCACACGTTCAGACTGGCACTAGAATTTGTTCATGGATAAGAGGATTTTCATTATATTAGTTTCTGATCATTACATGTTATATAAATTTGAACTGTTTTTTCTTTTTAAAAATGGTAATGTTTGTTGAATTAGTCAAACCAATAAATTTTGTCCGTTTCAGGATTCATTTATGTGGTACAAATGTTTTTTATATTAAATTGCTTTTTTCTTTATTTCATTAATATCACTTATTGCCCTTTGCTCGGATAATTTTCGAACAAAGGGTTTTTTTTGAAGGACCACTGCTTCAAAAAACTTTGTTCGAAGCTCATATCTCTCATAAACCGTATAATAAGAGCAACTAAAAACTCTGCCAAATTGTCTTAAAATTACTATATCTCGAAAACCGTTGAGATTTGACACCTAGTTCCGCATACAAAAATTTTGCTCATTTTGATGCCCTTAACGAAGGTACATATTAAGGCGGTATAACTGAATCATCCGCTATTATACTTTATTCAAAAAAAAAAATTATTTAATTCTGTATACAAATTTATTCTAACTTGCAATTTATTTTTAATTTATATTTTATTTTATAATTTTCGCACAACATCATAAACACAAAATCATTATGTTAAAATAATTATGTATTACTATAGGTGAAATGAATTCATGAAGCCATGTGCATATGCAAATGTAATAGGAAATAAAATTGTAAGCATTAAAATACAGTTCCCGAATGTAATTAAAAAATATAACAAAAAGCATATATGCAAGACACATGTGTAGATACCATACATAAATACATATTTATTAGTTAGTGATCTTGACTTTATTGACTTAGATTACTGAAGCGTGAAAATTCAACCGTATCAACTGTGGAAGATATGTATTTATTAAATTTACAATTTATATTGTTTTTCATTATTCATACATATGTACATCTATGCATGTTTGTATTTTTTTATTTATTTTTATGAACATAAAGTACTAATCCAATAAATGACCTTCAAAAAGTTTAAATCTTATTATATTGTTTATACATTCATAATTATGCGGCTATAAAATTTCAGATTTTTCCAAATATACATATGTATGTTACGAGTATACGTTCTTGAAATAGCTACTATGCAATTACAAGTTTAGTAGAAAGAGGATACACCAAATATATACATATGTACATTATATAAAACAAATATTATGACCTTTAATTATAGGGAATTTAATGGGAAAGATTAAGCAAGTATATGTACACTGAGACGATACAAATTGCTTTACAGTCAGTCTCTATATGTACATTTTCCATAATTTTGTTCCAATTAAAGCTTTTGTAAGTTTTTTGAATTATCTAATTTTTATATTTAATTTTCAAAAAATTTTCTGAAATTGCCAAAAAAACGGAAACTAAGTCAATTATACTATTATATATAAAAATGTTTGTTTTTGCTATTATATGGAAATGGGTAATTCTAACCACATAATGGGGTGGCTGTTAATATGCCAACTTTTTCAATTCTTATAATATCATAACTGATTTTTTCATTTTAAAAACGTATGATACATAATATGTATTAATGTCTATATATATTTTAAATTATAAGGTTTCTTTAAACCAGTGATTCCCAAAGTGGTCTATATGGACCCCCAGTAGTCCATTAAGACCTGCTCGGGATCTACAATAAAATATGAATTTAATTAATTTGGTATTAAGGGGGTCTATCAAAAATTCAAAAACACGACAAGGGGTCTACGAGGGGAAAAAGTTTGGGAACCTCTGCTTTAAACTGTAATTCTGATTGTTAAATAACTGTGTATTAATTTTGAACTGTTTTATTAGTTAAAACTCCGTTTTTTAGCCGTTTTATACACCCAGTTCAAGTATTGTTTCAGTAAAAATTTATTGTAAACAACGAAGTTTAATACCTTTTTACTACGGTTTTAAGATCCGATATAATACAATGATTAATTTAAGAATATGTATGTAGCTGATAAACAGTTATGAAATATAAGAAAGAATGTTAACCATAATCAAGATGTGTATTTATAAATTAAAATACCAAACTCAAATGAATCTAAAATTACATCTTACGAATTTTATAGTTAAATAAAATTTACGGGAAAGTCTTATTATATAAGTAGATCGAAACTATAATTTCTAAACCCTATAAAGAATACAAAGTCATTTTATTTAGATTTGCTCTCTATAGGTAACCGTAATGCATTTGAATTTTCCAAAAGTTTTCACAAATAAATTTAATATATATAGCCAACATCAAATACTCGTAAAATGCCCTACATTATGTATACATAATCTACAATATCAAATTGTTGAAGAAGTTATTGGCAAATACGGTAGTAATTAGTATTAATTAAATACATAATATATCACATAATTATCGATATTATGTATGTACGTTACGTAAATTCTAAATTAATTAAAATTTAATAAGTGCGATTTGAACAATAAATATAATGCATACGTAATAATAATATATGTATATACATATAATGTAAAAAGAATGACTTGAATATGTACCGCATATTTTGTAATATATACATACATATATACATACAAACACAGCATGTATGTATGTACATATTACAAGAGAGAATCGATAATGAGTATCACGTACATATATCACAACATATTATGTTTTTGTACTTTTTTTTTAATATTTAGAATTGGAAAAAATTATATTATATAAGAATTAATGTATAAGACGTACAAAACTATTTAATAAAATATTGCAAATTAATTGCCAATATAAAATTTTAAAACTTATGAATTCGAAACCAAATTTCAAAACTAAGAGTAAGTAGGTATTTAATTTTTTAATGGACTTTTATACAGAAAAGCCATTTGAAACTTAAAATTTGAACATATCAATTTATGCTGCAAAAATCTATTGAATTTCTTTTTATGTATTTATTTGGGATGTATTGTATATACATAATTCTAATACTGACTTTAAATAATGGAAATAGGTAAACTATGTATAAAATTAACAAAATTGTTTTTATACTTTTTATTAGATTTTTTATTTTGTTCTTTTCAGAATTTTTTATACTTACAATTTTATTTTTTGTAATTTTTTGTACATAATTATTGTATCATCTGTTTTTTATTTTATAAAGCATAAATATTATCTTTATACATAATACACATACATATATTCTTATACATTACACCACTTGTTGACCATAAATGAAAAATGCTGACGCACATTTATTTTACAATATTTTTTTTTTGCTATAAAAATTTGCTTTTTAATTTAGATTTTATATTCATTTAAAAAAATATGCATAGTTCCTTATATTAAAGTTGTGAAGCATGTATAAAAACAGAAAATAAAAAATTAAAAAAAAAATCCTCTCAGAAATTTACTCTAAATTATTTTTAAAGTGTGACTGCTTTTAAAGGTCTTCAATACTATAATTTTATTTATCTATATAGTTCTCAATTTCAAATATGATTATTAAATATCAGAATGGTGTTAATATTATATATAACATATTTATTTACCAGAAAGTGATCTTGATCATATTTTAGTGAAAAATGAATGTTTTATTACATTGTATTATTTTTTTTTTCTAAAATTAAGAATTTTCACATACAAAACTTAAGAGAAAATGTCTGTTTTCATTATTAAATGTTTTTGATTTATATAATTTTGTTGTTTTACTAGTATAATATTTAAAAATTAAGTTAAAGTTGAATAGAATAGTTTATATTTTGGGGAAATAGAAAATTGAATTTAAATAAATTAGTCGCTGTCTATGAACAGAGATTATGAATTATGTTTTTTTTGCGCTATTATTTTTTTAATTTTCTTATTTTTAAAAAGCATAAGGAAGAAATTTTAATATTAAGTAACAGAAATTGAAATTATACATATATATTTAGATTAAATATCATGGAGTTAAATAACTACTTAATTAATATCATAGATTAAATATCATAGATTGAATACAATAATTTTGAAAAAATATAAATACAAAAATTTTGGAATTCGGTTTAATAAGAAAAAGATGTTTAATAAGTAGCACTTTTCCTTTCGACAAGTGAAAATGCTGTTTTTGAAATGAAATCTACTAACTTATTTAAATTACTTTCGTTCATATACCAAAATATTTTAAATAATTTCATATATTTAGGATGAGACAAAAAACATTTCTGTTAAAAGGCGTTAAAATAGTGAATTCAAAGGTTAATTGCGTGAGTTAAGATAAATAATTATATTTTTGATGGCGTGGCATTGTCATTACAAAACTTGCAGTTTCGGAAGTATGTGGTGCCGAAAATTCGAATTATACAAATTTTCTGAGGCGATAACTTGAGAGAGAGTGGATTTGGAACAAAATTTTACAAAATACACTATTATTATTATATAAAATCTGTTAAAATTCCAGATTCCTACAGCTTATCGTCTAGAAGAAAAGTAGTACCAGAAATTTGAAAAAAACCGATTTTCGATAACCAGCCATTTTGTTTTTTCAAATTTCAACTATGCTGAGCCGCAGTAGAAGAAGCTCGTCACCACTTTTCTGCTTTTACAGAATTTAAAAAATGTTTGTGGTTTTGTTACAATAAATAGTCATTTAACTATTTATTTTTTTTAGGGTTAAGGTTTAGGGTTATTTAGGGCATACATTATTAAGGTTAGGGTTAATACATGCATAACAAAAATGTAAAGAAAAAAAAAACTGAAATTTTAATTTCTCATGTTAACTTTTAAAAAAATTCTAGTTTCACTTTTCGAATAATTTGTCAAAAGTTTTTCTATAGTATAGATAGAAAATATTTTTACTATTTTATTTAAATCCTTAAACTTCAACGAGATCAAGGTGAATCGAAAAATTTAACGTCGGCACTTGGTAAAAATTTTATATATTTATGTTTAATATTGTTTTGTATCACATATAGTGAAATAAATCATTTTTTACAAGTAAACTGGAATATTTAAAATTTAATTGAAATATGTGTTTTTGTTAATATTTTTAATTTAATAAAAAATATTTTTCTTATGATTCTTATGAAATAATGCAACTTTATATAGTACATACAAAAATATTGTTTTTTTATTAGCGTATACTAATACACAAATATTAAAAAATCGTTTTATGAGAACATAAAAGTTTCCTATATTTTAATTAAAAATAGAATCTAAATAAAAAAATGAATATTTACAGTTCTCATGTTGTAGAAAAAAAAAGAAAATTAGTGAGGACGTGACTGAAAATGTGATCAATTTCAAAACTATATATAATTTGAAATTCGATTTCAGATGATGTCAGGATTCATTTAGATGAGCGAGATGTGTGAAAATTATGAATAAAAAATTGAATAATGTATAGTATAGTAAAATAAAATTAAATTATAAGAACAACAAAATTAAAATATAAAAAAAATATTGAAAAATTCGAAAAACTTTTGCAATTATAAATGAAAGTTTCTAAGTGATTATTTTGCTGCCGACTTGAATAGATCGAAAAGCTTATGATCTCGGAAAATTAAAATTCAAAATTTTATTTTATTGCAAAAGAAAATTTCATTAACTACTATATCACTATAGTGTACATGTAGTTGTACTGTTTCTTAGTGTATATGTGTATATAAGTGCAGTAGAATTTTTTATGTGATAAATTATAATATTTTATAGTTAAATTTTAAATATGAGAAAATTTTTGAGTGAAAATCACTACATTACCATAAATAATATTTTATTATTTTGTTCATTGTTTTATTTAACACATCAGCAAACAACAATTGAAGAAGCACGATTACATCGCCAAGAATTAATACAGAAATATATTAAAGTTTTAAAAAAGGAAGAAGGGGCTGTACGTTTAATTGGTGGCCAAAATGAAAATGAAGGTTTTGAATATTTTTTTTTTCTATGATAAAATTATATGAAAAGTCCTTCCTTGCATATAGTATTAAAGAACATTACTAAGGAACTTAAGAGAATAACGGTATAATTTTATGTTTTATTAGGCAATGTCGAAATACTTCATATGGGAAGATGGGGTGCAATATGTGATGATGAATGGGATCGTAATGAAGCTCAAGTTGTTTGTAAACAGTTAGGTTTCAATGGATACTCAAAATTAACTCATAGTTCAGCTTTTGGGCCAGCTAAAAGTGAGTTTTTTTTTGTTGATTTGGAGATAAAAATTATGTTAATTAGAAATTAAAACGATATACTTATACTATTACTTAACTAGGCTGATTCATAAATATTACATTTATCGCTTAGATAATAATAATTTGTAATACACAGGAAAAACAGGAAAATTTAACAAAAACTAAAAATTGTGATAAGAGATGATTTTTCCTTTATAAAACTTTAGAAATTTTAATAAAATAAGTAATTACATACTTATATGTATGTAATTTACATATGTAAGTAAGAACATAAATTTAGAACATATGTATGTATAAAATTTATTGGAGAGTTTTAAAAGTTTTGAGATTAAAACGCGGGACGCGTATATTAATAGATCAATATATAAGAAAGCTATGTACTAATTATGTGAAGGTATTTATACTATATATTCAATAGGCACTTATTTGCGCTGTACCGAAACTGTATGCGTCCCGAACTTTAAAAATCAATTTTTTTAAATTTTTTACTCTTTCTCGAAGTAAACAGTATTGAAATTGAAAATCCCACTATCGACTGCAATGAAAAAGACATATATGTATATGCATATATGTATGTAAGTATCCATGTGGTTTCATCAAAATTAAACAAATATGTTTATATGTATACAATGATCCCATCAAAATTATTTGTGCATAAACAAATTTTAATGTATTGCTTTCAATAATCAGCTGTAATTTTGTAAAAAGATTTGAATAAAATTCCAAATACTTACATACATACATACATATGTATATTATTAAATTAATAGAAAAACAAAAATTGTAACAAAAAATATTAAGATCAAATATAATCAATTAATTTAACATTAAAATTACATACACCGAAAATTTGAGAGTATAAAAACTTTTAGAAATTTTTTATTATTTATAAAATTATAACTTTTATTAAAGGACGATTTTGGATGGATAACGTAATGTGCGATGGAAGTGAGAATGAATTGATTCAATGCCGCTTTGATGGTTGGGGAAAAAATGACTGTGAATCATCAGAAGCAGCTGGTGTTATATGTAAAGTTGAAAAAAATATAACTACGCCAATTAAACCTACCAAAAGTGATTCAAAAATTGTACCATCGAAATTAAGATTTCATAGGCATAGAATGGATTTAAGGTTAACTAATGGTCGGACTCCAACCGAAGGAAAAGTTGAAGTAAATTATATTTACAATAAAAAACTCAATAAATTTGAATTAATATTTGAACAAGTAAAGATTTTGAATTCAGTATGTTTTTTTGCAAATAGGTTCGTCTTAATAATGGTCCGTGGGGTAGTATATGTAGTGATGGCTGGTCACTATTAGAAGCGAATATTGTATGTAAACAATTGGGTATGGGTTATGCTAATAATGCTATACAAACAGATTTTTATGGCAACCGAAGTCGAATTGCGATAAGTGGCACTGAGTGTTATGGAAATGAAACCTCATTATCTGAATGTTTGCACTATGATCATTTTTCAATGCCATATAGGGATCCTGGTTTTCATTGTGCAGGACCTAAAAGTTATGTAGCGGCTGTTTCATGTACAAATTATTTACCAGATTTAATATTTGATTATGCTGAATTAGAGCAAACTGCTCATTTAGAAGATCGTCAAATGTTTTATTTGCAGTGCGCAATGGAAGAAAATTGTGTTGCCTCTGAAGCATATGAGATACAACGAGACGATCCAGCTTGGCATTTACAAACAAGAAGACTACTAAAATTTACTGCGAAAGTTTTAAATGGTGGAAATGTTGATTTTCGTCCATCTATACCGAAACATTTATGGGAATGGCATATGTGCCATATGTAAGTAAATTCATATTATATAAAATATTATAAAAATTTTAATGCTCGCTTCTAAACCCACATATGTATGTATATGCATATAACAGATATTTTTTTTCTGTCATCACAAACTCTCAAAAAGTTTTACTGTATGCTTACTTAACTTTTTGAAATGTACTGAATTAGTCTAGCGAAAGAGCTGTATGTAGAGACAAACCTTCATCTCAAGGAAAATAATATTTCTTAAAGATTGAAATTTCAATTTGGTGCGATCGCATACTTCCTCTTTTAATGTATGCAAGGCAATCGATAATAAGGAGTTAGAGTAATAAATAGGATATAGGAATATATAATAGTTAGGCAATATATACATTACCCAGTTATGTTAATAAATATCTACTTTATGATATAAATAAAAATAAAAAAATATACGTATAATATAACTAAAAACCTGAACTTAGACCATTTATTTAGAGCAAAAAATAATATCAACCGCTTTTAATATTAATTTGTTTTGCGTGAATTTCAAATCAATCGATTATGAGAATTCTATTTAACTGAGTATGAAAAGTTAAGAGAAACATATAGAAAAGAAATTTCAAAATAAAACCAAAAGAAAAAAACAAATTCGAAATAAAAAATATAAAATTTTACGGAAAAATTGTTGTTCTTGGGTTTTTTTTTATTCAACTGTGGTGGCCTAGTTTGCCTGGTTTCAAACTGATCACAAAGACTCTATGACAGAGAACTGATCGTCATATTTGAAAAATTTCTTTGTTGTATTTTATGTATAAAAAAGTATAACATATTTATTTTTATAAAAACTCTACGCTACATTTTACGATCTCGCATCTAAAATTCTTTCTATTTGGCATTGATTTAAAAACGAAGGTTGTGTGAGAACACATTTAAAGCTTTTATCATTTAAATCACCTTAAAACGTTCAATCTAAATCACTTTAAAACTTTCAATAGTGAAAACTTATCTATGCTAAATGATAAGTACCTAAAAAAATAGAGTATTTTATTTTTTCAAGAAATAAAAGACTCAATAATGCAGTTTGGATTTATTTCTAAATAATAACTTAAACAACTTATAAAGTTCACTCAGTACTATTGAAATTTCAGAAATTGACCTTATTTCTTTAAATCAAAGTTTGCAATACCAGTTTTTCAACAGACTGAAAAGGCATTTTTCTACATTTTAAAATAAATTTCTTTTATAGCTCATGCAGTGCCTAAATGGATGCAACTATGGTTAAAAATGTTCAGAGAATCAATTACAACTTTTTAAATTTTAAATTTCTTTTTTCGTTAAAGGCATTATCATAGTATGGAAGTATTTGCATCTTTTGATGTATTTGATATGGAAGGAAAAAAGGTTGCTGAAGGACATAAAGCATCATTCTGTTTAGAAGATAATCAGTGTATGCCTGGAGTTGAACCAAAGTACGCTTGCGCTAATTATGGAGATCAAGGTAATTGATTAGTCAAATAGCGTAATTATTTTTGAATTTTAATTACTTTTATTTAATTTTATATTTAAGGAATTTCTGTAAATTGTTCTGATATTTATAAATATAACATTGACTGCCAATGGATTGACATATCAGGTATAGAATATGGGGATTATAAGTTAAAAGTTGCAGTAAATCCTGAATATAAAGTACCAGAAATGTCGTTTTCTAACAATGCTGCCGTTTGTGATCTTCTGTATACTCAAACATATGCTAGAGTTTTTAATTGTAAATTAGCAACACTTAATGAATAATTTTTGATGTAGTTATTAGGAACGCCTATAAGTTTATAATAACATTTTTTTTATGTTTCCTTACAAAATATTAATAAAAATTAAATTATAAAACACGTGGTAGAAATTTAACTAAACATTATAACAAACTTCTTTTGTCAGTGACCATTTTGATTCATTATTTAATATCTAATTTATTAATATCTCTTCAATTAGTAATTTTAGCTGAAATTTATTAGAGGAATTGATTTTAAAGTTATTTTGGTATTAAGCATAGGGAATAAGAAAAAATAATATTTACCAAAGAGACCAATTTCGTATAAAGAGATTAATTACAATATACGAATATATACATAAATACAACGATATATATTTACATAATATATACTGTTATATTTCTGTATATATTTGTGTTTTAAATGTTTATATTAACGGTGGTATATTTATAGTTTTATTAAATCTTAGTCAAAAATTTTCGCAAAATACATACATACATACATACATTAGTTTACACCATTGTTCAAACTTTGCCTTTTACGAGGTTTGGAAAAATTACGACTTACATACATCAGTATAGCACGTTATAGAACATTTTTCTAATAAAATTTTGTCATAATCATATAAATAAATCTAAACACATACATACATATTTTTTAAATTTAATATTTTTTTAATCATTTTTTATTAGTTTACAAAATTGTTTTGAATTTTTTTTTATAAAATTGGCATCACATTCATGATTATGTACAATATTTCTCGATTTAAAATCAATTTCTTGTTCATCAGTTACAAGACGGGCTTTACAATTACGACTTCTTTGTTTTGAACAAACCCAATATTTTCGATTTTTTTTAAATTTTGCACATATAAAGGAGTAACCATCAATGAAAATTTTTCGGGAACCTCGTTGTCCTTGTATATACTGAATGTCAGCCATTGTTTGGCGTTTAATCAAAAACTCTGATAAAAGGTCTGGAATATCTACTAAAAAAATAGAAAAAAAATAAAAAACAAGAAAAAAGAGCTGTAATTTAATAACTTAAATAAAATCAATTCAGTTGTTGAAAAATTACTGAAATATGTATTAATTTTCATTAAAAAATAATTATTCTATTGTAAGAATATTATTGTTGTTACGAGGATAATATAATAAAGTAAAAAATTATTTAAATGAATTACATTTAATTTGTATATTTTATCATTACATATTATTACACTGTTATTTTTATTCCATTAAAAAAATCGATAGTATTTTGTCAATATAAAAAGAATATTCATATCTCATATTCATCCTTTAAATTTTAATTTTATTCAATTTCTGGGACGGTTCATTAACTGCTGGAAGTTTTCCAATGACTGTTTTGGAGTCAAGTTCAACCATATACATTCCAGGCAATCACCAAATATAATTCAAAGTGGCTTTATACTAAAACTGCAGTGAAAAATAAGCGCCGCAGTTTAACTATGACATAGTACGAATCTATTCTAATAAGTTTAACAAAAGAGTTGCGCAAGACCGTGAAAATGTTTTTGTGCATTCGTTTCCAACTTCAACTCCAAAAACCCTCTCTTCCGAGCTTTATATCTAAAAAAATTTGGATTCATTTTTTTCCAACAATTAGAGATTATTAATTGAATTTCAAAAAAGTATTATTTCCTTATACAATATGAACAAAAATATAAAAATTACTTCTAATAATAGTTATTTACTGGATGTGATTCAAAAGTTTCAATGGCATGTTATGTCACACAGTAGTTTTATTTATTAATACAAGTATATAAATTTGTAAAGAAAGGGTTTGTTCGAAATGATCAAATAAAAGTTGTACGATTTTGTCAAAATTAAAAAAAATAAAATTTTAATTTAAATTTTAACACAGTATATCCTTTTTTCTTTAAACACATTGTATTATTTTACATTTGAAAACTTCAAAATCTTAATGCCATATATATGTATTAGGCCATCAAGCTCAGAGAGCAAATCAAAAATAAATTCCAAATTTATATGGAGTATGAATAAAATGGAAGCGGTGTCGGAATTTATTTGTGTAAAGGAAAAAATCAACATTTTTAGCTCAACTGATTCTACATATTTTTTTTAATTTAAAATTTAAATTTTGAAAAAATCGGTTGGTAAATTTCATCTAAAAAATGCATTTAAAAAAAACATTGCAATTTTTAGCGCAAACAACTTTTCTCGTCTTTCAAATGGAAGGGTACTAAATTACAGAGTAAAATTTTTGAATAAGAAATAGAATTTTAAAAGAAATTGAAGAAAAAAGCAAAAAAAAAATATTTATAATCTAGATGGTTTTTAAAACTATACTAAATGAAATGAGAATCATAAAGAATACTTAAAAATTTCACAAAAAAAATAAAAAAATATTTCAATCGGCATACCTCGAAAACATAAAACATTAAATTGTTTTTGTATTTTTTTTCGATTCAAAATTTTGGAAAATTATTTCAGCTTGGAGGACTGATGGATATATATGGCATTATTTTATGTTATTTCATTCTATTGCTTATTTTAATAAGAAAATTTTTTATTTCAATTTATTTTAATTGAAAAACATATAAAAAACATATAAGCATATACATATGTACATATATTTAAAATGTTAAAACCTATTTATATAAAGAAACGATTGAATTCTGGTAAATGAGTATGTGTGGTTTCATTCAAAACAATCCTTTCCCGATCATTTAAAAATGTTGTACATTTTGCCTTACAAGACAATGAACGACTTTTGCGACATCTCCAATATGTTGAAGTACTATTTTTTTTATTACGTATAAAACAAAAACCTGGTAAAATAAGGCATGGTGCACCACGTATTCCTTCAACAATTTTAAATGATTTCTCTGACACACTTGTTTCATTTGGAATGTCACCTAATGCAGGTTGGCAAATTTTGTCTAAAAAAAAAAAAAAAAAAATGTTCTTTAATTGAATATTGCGGAAGAACTTAAGAACTTAAGTTAATCTTAAATCAATAATGTAAATTAATTTTTCGAAATTTGTTGAATAGTTTGTGTTAATTTAATTTTTATTTTAAATTTTTTTTAAAATTTTAGAATTTTTCATACAACTTATAAATTACTATTATTTAATTTATTTAAAAATGTCTTCGTGTCCCCAAATTTTCAATCGTAATATGTACAACATGCAAATATTAATTTGAAAATTTCCAAATTTAACTTTTCTTATCTAACTTTGAAAATAATTTTCTCCCTTTTTTCTTTTACTACACAGTCTGAGTTTTATTTTTTATTTATTTTGTCTTTTGCTAGCAAAAGAGATAAATAAGGAAAACTATGCTTATAGAAATTTAAGCGTTATTATGTTTCGCGAATTTGCCTAAGAGGTATTAGGGTTATCGAAAGAAATGTCAAAAAAAATCGATTTTCGAATGAAAATTGTATTTGTGACGTAGAGGTAATTTTAAAAACTTCGTTGTTATTTTGAGTTTGAAAATCGTGTTATTGTAAGGCTTTATAAAGATAATTACGAAGATGGGGAGAATATTTGTGTAAGGCAATTTATAATTTTTAAATATTTATAAGGTAAACGAAATTAAAAGCTTATTTTAATAAATAATATTTATGAAGTATCTATTGCATATAATAAACCTATATATATATATATATCTTCGTATCAACAAAAATGTTATACACATAATACTTCCTTCACAAAGGATGTGTAAAATATTTTTGTTTGACTTAGAATACTAATTGGTCCTGATGTTCACCTACAAAAAGAATAAATAATTTTTTTTAATAATTAGCTATTGAAAATTTTATTTTTGCTAAAGTTTTCACATATTTAGCATAACAAGAAACCGTTCATAAACGTAGAAAATCTTCTACAAATAAATTATAAACAAAAATATTTTCTACGTTAATAATTTAACAAAATGTTAAGAAACTGGAAGAGTAGTCAAGAAAAAATTAGGTAACTAAATATTTTATTGTCCTTGCACAAGTATACAAATTAAGATTAATAATTTATAACATACAAAATGAAACTTCAAAATGTAGTATTTTTATATGTACATATGTATGTATGTAAATTTTTTTATTTATTGTTCTCGAATCATAATATTTCAGTTTTATTTTCTATCATGTTTGGCATATGAGTATGTACTGCTTGAATAAATTTAATTTTATGAGGATTATTTCTAAAAGTAACACATTTAGCTTTGCATTCCAATGATAAACGCCGATTACATTTCCAATATATTGAGTCAGAATTGATTTTATCACGTATAAAGCAGAATCCATTCACCAGTAAGTACGGTGCACCCCAACCTCCCCGAGTTATTTTGTACGATGTAATTTTCTTGAATTTTTCTGTAAAAAAAAAAATGGTTAATTGTACCACGATGAATGATAAGAAAAAATTGGAAAACAAAAATTCATTTCATAGCTTAAATATTACAGTGTAAACATATTAGCATAGTATATATATATATGTATATATGTATACAATAATTATTTTAAATTAAATATATGTATCGCATTCTTGTTTGGTTCAAATTCAATTTTTTCATTCAACTTTTATTTTAAAGTCCAACTTGTGGGATTTCAAAGGGCTCATTAAAATTTTAATTTATTTTTTTTACTTTGATTTAATTTATTTACATACCTATTTGATTTTTATGCCGTTAACTACTACTTAAGGTAAACGGCCAAATGCCTACTGTATCTTATTTTCCACATAAATGTAAATCTATCTTAAAGTACGTTTGTAAAAATATATATTACATTTTGTATAAATTGTTTTTAAATACAAGTCAGTTAAGTAATAAAAGAGATAAAGGGTATTTACAATATATCTTATTATATCTTTATTTTAAAATTAAATTAAGTCTTTATTAGTATTTAATTTACATTATATAACCTGTAAATAATATAATTAACATGATACAATGTACGATCTTATAATATATTTAAAATTTTTCGCATTTAATCTCATCTATATAATCATAAATTTCTTTTGGATGATTATGTGTTTGATTTTTTAATATAATTTGACCAGAAAATTGGCAAGTTATTAATCTAGCTTTACATTTTTCATAACGATTTTTTGAACACAACCAATATGTTTTCTC